ATTTGATTTATCTCTTTCCGTTTGGAAGATAAGAGGTAGGGAACCTCATTGGATGACCCTCGTAAATGGACATCGGACGTTTTCGCATACTTTTGAGGTTCGACCCCCTAAATGGGGGCGAAAAAACAAAAAACAGGTCAAATCCGTCTTCACATAGATGCGCCTACCCTCGAAGATGACGTTAAGCCAAAAAACTCAAAATCCAAAAAAATGGACATCGGACGTTTTCGCATACCTCGATTCAATTGAGGTGTGCCCTTACGTCCGAGGGGCGATGCATCAATCCCTCGTGGTACCTGCAGACGTGAACTCTGAGGACTCATGTGTAAGAATGGCGGATGTGAAAAATTACCTTTTCGAAACACATTCAAAAAACCGTTTTGGTATCGAGAAAATGTTGAGAAAATACTTGATGTGATCTTCGAGATCTGTACATTATGCCAGGGCCGAACATATTAAATTTTTGTGTGAACAAAACAGTTTTTTAAGCGTGTTTCGAAAAGGTAATTTTTCACATCCGCCATTGTTACATATAGACCTCATATAGTATTTGGGGAGCTTTTGGAGGATAAGGCGGATACATAAGTGTACTTTTTGAAAAAAAATTGAGATTTTAATTCTATTTCTACACGGAGAAAAATCAGATTCATTAAGGATGAAACAAAAAACATTTCTCCAACACTTTTCCGATAGTTATTCTGAGGAACACAATTTTTGTTTTCAGCGAAGAACTTTCAAACCCGTGTAAAATACGTCGTTTTCCAGATGGGGGAACTTAACTCCGTTTCAATGTTGAAAAAAAGGCCTTGAAAATACGATTTTCTAGAAGAATACGACTTGCAATTTTTGTCCAAAATTTTGCTGATTTTTGCCAGTATTCAGAGGAAACATTTGTAGACCTTTCAGTTAGAGACGCTCGTTATCTCTTTTAGTAAAAATGCGATTTTCGTGTGTTAAAATGTAGTTGTGTTTTCTCGTCGGGGAACGACGAAAAAACTGCATCATACACAATGAGTAATTACTATTTGTAGCCCGGGGAGACTAATCGCACGTAGGTCGTTTCTAAAATTAGCCAAAAAAGTTAGTCCTTTTTTGAGTTGATTCCAAATATCAGTCATAACCTCGGGAATTCCCTCCCGCTGCGCAATACAAATAATATCCTAGAAAACGAATCCTCTCCGTTTAAACGAGACTGTTTTTTTTTTTTTTTCAGTGCTGAAGCATATTTTTTCAGCAACTTAAAATACTGAAATAATAATAAAGATGTCAGCGTTTCTTTCAAGCTTCAACGTCATAAGTTTTTGAGCTTTTCATCAGATGTTAGGTATCATTGTCAGAATGTGGTTTTTTCTCCTCATAAAAAAAATTAAATGAATAAAAAAAATGTGGCGCAATAATTAGCACTAAAATATACGGGTAATATTCTCACCGCCACGATTTAGGAGCAGCTCTTGGGTCCCAACATTTCGAACACAGGTTGGCCTTAACTTCATAGATTAATAACGCGAGTTTAAAATAAGACAGATGCAATTTCAAAAACTTTACACCTTGACTCAAATCTGGTCAGTGGGTTTTGTCCTAATTTTGACGACCTGACAGTGACTTTGACTCCAAAACCGTTACAGTTTTTTTCTGGTTCGTGTTGTATCTATATTAAAGCAGTGACAGAATAGTGGGTCCATACTGTTATGTGAGCATAACGGGGCACCTGAGGCGCACCTTTCACTATTTGGACGCATTTAAATCAAATGGAACCATGTCCATTCTGACTTGAGCCTTGAGGTCCATAAGAGTACATGCATGGCAGGGCTTATATATCAATGGTGATAGGTCCTTTTTGATTTAAATATGCGTCCATTTTTTGTTCAATTTATGTTAATTTTATTATCTCCGTTTTCGGCCGTCTAATAGCGTACGTTAGACGTATTGCGAGGACAGTTCATGTACTCTTGACAGAGTTTACAATTTTTGTGAGCATTCGAGTAATTATGAAAATTAAACGACAAAAAACGGTCATAATGTTTCCGGTAACCTTCAATACAAACCTGGAGCTTTACCTCGGCTCAAGCCGAAAACTATATAGTCCTAAAAGTTACAATATCTTATTCATATTTTGATTGGTAGTTCGCTATTGAAGTAGATCCTATAATGCTATTTAAAAATACTAGTTGACTATTTACCCTCTCCAAAGTAAAGGTGAGCTTAAAAATATGATAATCCATGCACTAATGCTTATTTCAAGAATTATATGAAATACCCTCACACGCCTGATTGCTCCCACTGATGAGAGAAAATTAAAAAGGTAGATATTGAGTAGATACCTTCGGATTTATCAGGATTTTTAAGTTACACTTTTCACGCATGATATCCTATTTTCACATGTCAATGAAACGCAATGAGATATTTCCTTCCTTTAAAAAAAAATGACATCCATGTTAATTTTTGGAAAATGCGACTAAATTCACTGAAAAAAGAGACTCGGGTCTGATACTCCTGACTAAACTTAATTTTGAAGAAAAACGGTACTTATATTGTATCTCCATTGAGCCTGAAATAAAGAATCCTCATTGCAAAATGCAGTCCAATTATGGATCCACTCCAGGTTCCAAGTCCACTAGTTTTTGATACAGGGGTCAAAATAAAGTATTTTTAGGAGCACAGTTCATTAAAATAGATTGCTATTGAGCCGATACATTTCAAAGTTATAACTTACATTACTACCATTAAATACTCTCATAACATGACAAACTTATATGTGAAAAGGCATTAAGATACAAAATATTCCAAGAAAATGTCTTTTCAACGCAGTTCAATGTGCATAAAAATTAACAAACAAAACACATTTATATAACTCCAAAGAACAATTCAAAACTCAACGATAATTTTAATAATTTGTTTACCTTTATTGTAAAAAAAATACTCTTCCGGGCAAATCAAGTTCAGTCACGCCCGAAAAAAAAATACTAGGTTCGATTCAAAGCCTCTGATTTTTTTTTATATCACGCCCCTATACTTTCCCGATTCTCAAATAAACAGGATAATTAACTGATTTCGAGCCGTTTTCTCCATCAGAACTCCAGGCGCTCGTAAAATCCTCGATCATCCCTTGAGTTAAAAGTTCCACCCCCTGCTCCTTAGCTTTCTGATACGCAGACCAAGATTTCAGATAAATAAAATAATCATCCAAGTTCATAGTTCTCTCATTCTTGAACCGGAATGGTCCGGTTCCTTCGAGTCCACTCAAGGGTTGAAAAGGAAACTCTAGGTCCACGTACGCATTGTCCACCATTTTCCTCTCCGGGTCCCAAAAAGGGTTTTCATAAAACTTTTGAAGAACCGCATCCATATCTGGGTTGACCTCGGGAAGAGTGTAGCACCAGGCGGCGATGACCCCATGCGGTTTTTTCAGCACCCATCTGGCTTGCTCGTAAAATACTGGAAGGTCGAACCAGTGTATGGCTTGGGCGATCGCCACCAGATCCACGCTTGATTCTGGAGCTACTTTTTGTCGAAGCTCTTCTTTGGGCATCGTTGGGGAGGTGTGCTCGTAGCGGATATTTGGTAATTTTGGTGCCAATTCTAGCTGCTTTGGACTTGTGTCTGTAGCGATAACGTTCTCATAGTGCTCTGCCAACTGTAAATAATTAACGTATCAATGAAGGACTTGTAATTTTGTAAGTCATTAAAATAGTTGAATTTGATTTATACCTATTGAAATGAAACTCGCAATAGAGAATTTGCAAGTGTCTGAACGTTGATTAAATTCGTGTTTAAGTGGAAACTACTAGGAGAACTGAACACGAGGATACCTTTGGTTCATAAATTGAACAATTATTGGAGAAGATGTTACAAAATTATCTAATCTGCTAAATTACATGTGTTTAAATGGGAAATGCAGCCAGATGACGTCACTGGGTGGTGCATATTCTTACTCATATACCATTTCCCATTTCAGAAAATCATTACGAAAAATACTGCGAAATCTGCTCTTTAAACACTCTCGGATAAAACAATAAAACATTAACGTGAAAAATCTCCATTAGGCGTGAATGAATGCAATTCTTCCTCGCGTGTAATTTTCCCACTGCCTACACAGTTCGAGAACAATAGATCAGTCGTTGGTTCGTAAACATTCTGCACTCCTGTCCCTCTTCTTATGCCGATCGCGAGTTTTCAAAAATTCTGACTTTCATGTTAAGAAATCTTCCCACTTTGAGTATATAACGCCATTTTTAAACCATTTTAATATTTAATTGAATATTATACACGATTTTGTATACGTCGTATAGACTCTTGGCTCCTTCCACTGCACTCTCCGCTCCCTCCCTGTCAATTGGAAACATGAAAAGGTTGGAACAAAAATTTCTAAAATCAAAATGATTGTTCTAATTTTTCTTTATGATGAAGTGATGAAGTGTTATTGGCAAGAAGCGACTGCTGAGTTCCACATAAAATTATTTTGATTCACATTAAATTAGCCTTAATTCAAGGATGGAGGGGGGGGGGTCGGGGCCGACGGCTAATCTGAAAGGTTTGTACAAAAATTAAAAGTTCCCTCGAGCTTTCAAAATAAAATTAGTTCTAGTGCACTTACAGACTTTGCAGCTTGGCCGCTACCTGTGCCGACATCCCAAGCTAGCTTATGCTCCGGAGTTTTTTCCGCAATAAAACTGAATAATTCCGCTGGATAAGAAGGACGGCCTTTTGCATACTGCATTGCCTGTTTGATGAACAAATTTGCCATCTCGTGTTTCCTCCTCTCTTTTTGCAACGGGTCTGTTTTTAGATAGAAAACGTAAATATTGGAAAACGAAAGTTCATATAAACGAGAAAATTTTTCAATTTTTTTCTTTCTTTTTTTTTTATAAAAATTGCATCGCCCAACATTGGCGGATCCAGCAAATTGTTTTCCTCCATTTAAACCTGTGGAAATGTATTGATTCCTGGAGGGACTAGATGCTCCGACCAGAATCGACTATTTAACATAAGTTTAAATGGAGGATTTCCGGTGTTGCCAAATTGCTCGATCCGCCTCTGTTGCCCTGACAGATGTTCGTGGGGGATTCTTGATCCTACCTAGGCACCTCTTAGACGTAGTTACGATATTACTTTTTAGTAACAAATACTTCGGTTCCACAATTGTTACCCAAAAATAATACTGTAAACATTCGACCAGGAAATTAGGTAAAATCTCGAATCTACTGCGGGCACTGTGAAAGCAAGAATTCTTATTTCTCGGTGGATATTCCTCACCAACGAGCTTGTTAATTCCGACACTCTGATCAGTGGCGATTTTGCAAGTTGGCAACACTGTTTTTCCTTCATTTAAATCCATTGAAAATATCGATTTTGGGTGAGACCCATTATCTCGCCAAGAATCGATTGTTTTACATAGATGTAATGGAGGAAAAACAATGTTGCTAAGTTTCAAGAATCGCGATTGCTCAGAGTCTTTAGCTTCTTTTCTTTTAAATTTTCCTTGAAAGTTAAATACGGAACGATATACGAGTAATCTTCTGAACCATCGGCTACAATATGTTATAGAAAATGTATTATGAGGATAAAAATTATTTTTCAAAGGGCTGAAAATGTAGACGCATCGCTCAAACACCTCCGCCTTGCAATCAAATACAAACACTTTTGCTACACACAAATTTTTGCTTAACACAAATGTTTGCTATCTTCCAATGCATCATTCTCTTTGTCACACTGTCATTAAAGATACTTCAAATTTTATTCATCGATATATTCAACAGTTTGACTTAATTAAAAAATTACATTACATTTACATTTACATTACAACTACCGCGAATTTTGCAATGAAACTCACGATGTATGATTTCGTGCTTGTGAATTTGAATGATGCGCTCCGACGGCACTTTTCCCGCCAATCCCTATCATCCAATGAGAGCAGACGGGACAGAGGAACTCTCTGATTCGCTGCGCTATGTGCACCGTGCAGTGTGCATTCAATGCGATTGCATCACGCCTCTGGACAACGTACTTTATTTCATTTTGTACACTGCCTTTTTTCAAAAGTAAGCAAGCATCAGATGGAAAATTGACGTGCATTGTCCTAGCTACTTAACATTGTTTACAAAAAAAAAACAATAATACTTACGGCTTTAATGAATGTACATAGATCATTGACCACCTTTATCAAATAAAACACTGTAAACATATCACACCCAATATGGCTGGGTGACTTGCGCGCGCATCAGAGACGATCAATTCTGGATCTCGCCGTCAGAGCGAGTATCGAAAAGTTCCGAATTCGCTGATAAGCATAATATCTGATCGCAAGATAAAAATCAGAAGAGTGCCCGACGCTTTACTAACCATACAACCAATGCACTACTATTATTTTTTCATCACGAAGCCATAGCAAAATTGGTAAGCTTGTTACCTGATGTTTACGTTGTGAGCGTCCAATATTGAGGATTTTTATAAACAATTCTGCACCTTAGGAGGATTATGAACAAAATTTTCACTCGAACTGCTCAAGATTAAAAGTCATCTATTAAATTACATTGAGATGTATTTTATTAAAATATCAGATTTCATTATGATTTTATATTTTTTTCTGCAAATTTATATTTTTAAAAAAGAAAACAAAAACTCAAAGAAAACGAGAGACTTCCTGCTGATTTGAGGCGCATAACTGCTACAATCGAGAAATGCGTACCTATTTCCAATTGCGATGTTGCAAGTCTCTACTCGTGCTTTATTTATTTCTGAAAAATCTACCGAGCATTATTTCTTGAAAATTTTTTCTTCTATTAGGTCATAGTTCAATCATTTCTCTGGTAAAAATTGGCAGTAGAACCTGTGTTCCAAAATACCATAGACCTAAAGCCGGCTGTAAGATTTCCAATAGCTTCTTTAGCCGGATGTACAATTTCTTTTAGCCTTTCATAGCCGATGGCGACTAAGCAACAGCCAGACGATAAAGTTTATGCTAAACGTTACTAAATACGGATACTAGGACTTAGTTAGTTTTTGGACCACCGCTCTTTTTTTGTGCCGTAGTATCTTGATTTATTTTGCGAGGAATGTTCCGTATTTTTGAAGGATGCCTGTCATTCTTAATATCGACGGTGAAACTACCAAACCACGTACCTCGTTTGCGGTGTTTAAAAATCTCCGCTCACATTTTTTTTTTTTTGAAGTAGACCAAATCAATATCATTCCTTGAAATTTTCACAGAATTTTCTCCGCACGAAGAGGAAAAATCACGGAAATTTTCAAGACTGGACGTTAAGTAGCTTTTCATTTAAAAAATAAAGTATGACAGGAAGTCTGCGACGTCGCAAACCGAGATACGTGGTTTGGTAGTTTCACCGTCGATATGTTGGAGCGCCTTCAATTCCTTATGATATTGTGCAATATCTCTTGTGTGAAATAGTTGCTTCAGACGCCACGGCGGGCGGGCAGCCAGCGCAAAACACGCATTGGCGCCTACAAACCTAACAGGGATACTTCACGCATTGCGCAATGCGTGAAGTATCCCTGTTAGGTTTGCAGGCGCCAGTGCGTCGCCGCTGCGCTTTGTGTTAGGCTCTAATATTTTTTCTTGCGGAGTCAGCGTTTTTCAACTCATGATTTTGGAATGTTTGCACACTCTGTATGGATAATTCTCATTTTAATTGATGAAAAAAAAATATGTTTTAAAGGAAAATATAATGTGTGTTTTGTAAATATCCAGGTAGTTCCGTATCAAACTTAATGATTTCCAAAGCACACGAATTTCTACACCATTTCTTATAGCCTTTTATAGCCAATGGCGATAAAGTGTAAAGCCCGGTGATAGGAACTATACATATATAGCCCGACTGTATACTTTGTTATAGCTTCGTATAGCCCGGCTATATGATTTGCTCCACTTTCTACAGCCAGCTATATGATTTTCAATAGCCTTCTCTAGTCGGCTATAAGAACTCCTATGGTATTTTGAAACGCAGCTCCTATCGCCAATTTTTACCAGGGAATAATTTCAAGGGTATATTTTTGGCTAGTTTCCTTTTAAAAAAATGAAAGATAATCGGAAATGTATTAACGTTGAAATGAAGGTACACATTTTTGACTAGTCACTGATAACGACGGCTAGGTAAAGATTATTGAGTGAGAAAAAGTTCACGTATTAGTGATGAAGCTACTTAATTGAAGATTTACGTCAATTTTTTTATTCTAAAGCTAAACATCATTCATCAACACGTATGTAATCTCAGTTTGCCTTAGAATTAAAATTTGAAAAAATTGAAATACGTATACTCAGAAGCTCACCAGCTAATAACAGCTCTCTGATTTTAATGTTATTGCAGTACTACCAAGGAGTTGTATGTGCTTTTCTTTTCACATTTTTTTTTTTTGGACAATGGGAGGGACTCTCAGTATTCAAAATAACAGTCAGCAAATTAATGGCAATATTGATAATTATTAAATATGTGATATCATCAAATTATTAGTTGGTTTGACCATTCATTATTTTAATATTACAGCTCAGAGGAGTCAGTTCCTATTCGATGAACAAGAAAAAATTCGCCAAGAGTCGGAGAAAAAATCCAAAGCAAAGCTACTTGCTGATTATTTCCATCAATTTTCCAGTTTCACATCTTTACACGGCATCTCATACGTAGGAGATCGATCAAGATACCTCAGGGAGCGGTAAGTACTCCGGTCCTTTGGGATTCTGAGGTATTTTTAAGAGATTTTCATTCCAAATGCACAATCCGCCGTGTATCTCACTAAAGAATATAAGTACATTTCAGTGTTAGTAGTAGTTGTTAGTAGTAGTAATTTCAGTGTCCAGCAGTAGTCAGGAGCCTACCCTCCAGGTTACATTGATTAATGAAGAAAATAAGTGTTTGAAAAATTATAAGATTCTTAAAATATCTAATAAAATATTCTAATTGTCTATTAATGAATTAAATCAAAAATTTGTTGCTCGAGGTTTGCGCTTATTCAAATTACCTTCATCTATTCGGGTATGCAAAATGCTCACATTCGTGTCGAAATAGTTACCTAATTAAAACGCCTTATACCTTGACGTCTCACCTGCTGCTTGGTTAAGACGTGAAAAATTAGGTTGAGAGGATTTTTTTTTGATCAGGTTCGTTTGCTCCTTGACTTTACGTTCCTTAAAAGTTTCTGAAATATTTTCCTAACAGATTTTTATGGCTAATTTTGCTCGGACTAGTATACGGGGTGTGCATCTGGGCAGCAAGCCGTCTCATCAGTGAATGGATGAACGCCTCAGCAGTGATATCCTTCGAAAACAGAGTTCTGGACGTCCATGAGATACCATTTCCCGCCATCACGATTTGCTCGTCGAATAAAGTCCGACCTTCGTTTGTGAACCTAACAGAGCTTATTCTTAAACCCGACAGGACCAGCCATGAGTGAGTTATTTTTTGCTGTCAAAATAGGGCACAATTAAAATCGAAGGAAAATGGTGCGGTCACAGAATTGAAAATGGTTGAAACTTGCAGATTGACAAAAATTATCATTCAAAGTAAGAAATAAAATCTGTTCAAGAGCTAAGTTTTTACGTTCAATATTGATAAAAAAAAATATCGCCCTTCCGAAATCCCCGTGAGTAACGTAATCCTGTGGGTGCTTAACGTTGTTTTTTTTAATTGTTTTTATTTTTTATTAACTAAATGCATTTCAACGCCTGTGGCTTGCTCTTTAATGGTAGGTTGGGTTAAACTTCCTCGCAAAACACGCACTCGTAATATAATTTGATTTTTGATTTCTGTATTTCGAATGGTTACCGAATTCACCACTAGGCATAAAGGTATAGGCTTTGAAATGCATTTGGTATATTTAAAAAAATTGAATAAGCTTTCATAGGCAAACACAAACCTGCATACTTAACTAAAATAAAGGGTGCAAAATGCTAGTAAAATGATTACGTCATCCACCACGGTTGTACGTACCAAAGGCAAATCTTCGCGGATTAGTTCAGGATTTTGTAAAAATTCGTACCAAAAATGAGGCAAGGTATAATAAAAGAAAAGTATACCAGAAAAATCGAACGCAAATTAAAATTGTAACCAAAACTTATATTTTTGTAATTTTTTGAAGTCTTACATTCCTCTCCATAGACACTACAATTTTACGCAAGAATTCCTGAAGAAAAGAATGAAAAATTAATACTGACGGAACAAGGGACCGAAATTTGTTGCAGTAAGGAATATGAAATTGAACAATTGAACAAAAGTAAACAAAACTGTAAAGCAAAATGGAGAGTGAATAGCGCAGCCGACTCTCGCTACAGAGGTGCGGGTAAGACTGGCAGAAGCAGAACCGGCTGTTCCATTCCCTCACAATCAGAATCAGACAAATCAGCTTGAATGTTGATCGTCCGGTGCCCGACGCCTACCACCGACTTTTGAACCAGTTTGAGGGCCAGAAGCACTAAATTTGGCGCACGACTTACGGGTACAACAGTCAAAGTCTGATGTAATAAACTGATTAGTTGCGCGAGAATCAGTTCTAAAAATAGCCGTTGTCATAATCTGGATCGGATTAAATTTCAAAAAATACCCATCAACCCCCCCTCAAAATAATAGCGAAGTACCCAATCATCACTATTTGTGGGAAGTGGCGCTTTAATGTACGGAAAATAATTTTCGTGGAAATCGATTTTTTTCTGTTGATTCAAAACTCACTCTTAGAAAATCAATACAAAAAATGTATTACTATGATCGTTGATTCTTTAACATTTTGACTATATTTACAGGTCAGATATACTCTCGCTTGCATTCCAAGTTTGTTTTATGTCAATGCAACCAAATGCCAGCAAGTTCTTAAATAAACGGATCGTCGATTTGTACACAGATGTAAGTAAGCTTAGAATGTTTTGTTTTGCTATTCGCGGTTATTTTTACAGCCATTTTAACGTTAAAATCATTATTTTAAATGTTTATTTCTTCTACATTGCAACATGCAAAACGGATTTCTCTCAAAGTTGGTCTATTAAATCAAAGAATTGGATCTTCACGACGCAATAGTACTTTAAGCATTAAGTTTCCCTATTTTTGCTTTTAAATATTAACTCTTAAAATCAAATCCATCACCAGAATTGGGAGATTCTCTCCCACAATGTCCTTTAATAAAAAGTCTCAACCTAAAACTGGTTGCCTTATGAATACATAAATTCATTAATAACCAATTGAAGGTAAAAAGTAAAAAAACGCTTTGATACATCAGGTGTTCAAATTTCTGCTATTTTTTTTTCCAGGGAATATTCCATTTGCAATGTTCATGAACTGTACAGAGAATATCATAAATTGGCAAATAAAAATAATTCATAATTTTGTATTGACGGAGATACGCAAGAAATAAAAAAAATAAAATATGAAAATGATTTGCAACTCCATATAGCGGAATAAGTGTTTTTGTAACTTAACTATCGATCAATAAGTACTCATCAACTTATTTTGGCGAATAAAAATTAAAATTTCCTCAGTCCGAAAAATTATGGAATTTCAATATACATGTGCTGAACTAAGATGTCTAAACTGTTACAGCTAGGAACTCCTAATTGCTCAGACACATTCTTCCGGTTGAAATGGAAAACGCGCATGGTACCTGAGCCTTGTGAGCTTTTTCAAAAAGTTCTTACCAATAGAGGCATTTGCTACGTGATTAATAATTTACCTTTCCCAACGCTATTCACTTCGGCTTCAGTTAAAATGTAACTATCTCAATAATAATTATATGAATTTACCGGATTGCCAAATGGTTTCAAGTTTATGTAGTTTTATGTATTTTAGGAATGTCATATTCATAAACCCTCTAAGTTATAAAATAATCCAATTTATCCTAAACGACCCGCATTAATCCCAATTTTCCGCAATTGATCAATCAATCATCAATTGAGGGGTTTGGAGGACAAGGTGCATGAGGGCATGTTTTTGAAAAAATTGAGATATTCATGAACTCAACTAAAATTAGTTTAAAAATATACTCTATGAAAAATTCACAACTGAAATCCAACTTTATATCATCAAAAAGTGTGTTTAAACTTCTTTCCTGCCACAAGGCTCCATGCATTTTCGAAACCTTAAAAACGTGTCTTTCAAAATAGCAAAAACTGCACTTATGCGCCTTGTCCTCCAAGCTCTTCAATTTAAATTAATCAACCATTGAAATGCTATAAACCAAGGGAGATAATGATGCACTAACCATAGGGTCTCTCGTGGGTTGGAGTTAGTTAGTCCGTTACTTACCTCCTTTGTCTGTTACAACCTCTAGCTTCCACCAATGAGATCGCTCCATTTTCGCTCTGTCTCCTTCGTCTATAGCTTTGTTTATTATTTTAAAAAATCCGGTCCTCTGATAAGATCGCAACGAATGGCAGTTGGGTTTCCAGAGCGCTAAAGCGCTGTAAACGCGGCATCTACATACATACATGATTGCAACCTTTGACGATATTATATTATTGTCAGTGGCGCGGCGTGAATGATCGATTATCGATATCTCGCCTTTGAAGCTATGGTAAAAAATCGACTACTAAAGTGTTCGCTGCGAACACCCTGATAATCGATCTTTTTTCATAGGGTTGAGTGGCATATCAATCGATATATCGCAAAGCACGCCACGCCACTGATTATTGTTAGATGCTTGCATATTTTCAGTACGCTTGAAATAAAGCATTGCAAATCTTCATGCAGGTATGAAGAACTTCAAATGTCTGAAAATTTGACGTCGTGGTACAACCGGACGCTGACTTGGTCCTTAGAGGGAGGATACACGACTAGTGAGCTGGGTATTGCAAGAGTGACTCCCCTGAGAACTGTCGGCAGTGAGGAAACTCTCTTCTTCAAACTGAACTTCCACATCGAGGATTTTGACCCATCGTGTCTTGGCGGTGTCAAAGGATATACCGTGAGCTCATACTTATTTAAACGTATATTTCTGATAAACGGAACTATGGATGAGTCGGAAAGATGGGGCGTGCTCTAGAAAGTTACATAAGAAAGCTTCGGGAAAATGGAAAAGCGGAATTTTACTTTCTACCAAACGGAACTGAACGCCAACTCTATGCGGAACTCATGGGCCGTGGACCTGGCAGTGTAGACAGGGTGCATGAGTTAAAGCTAACGACCAACGAGCGTGGCGGCGGCGCAAAGTGGATCGAGTCCATTGGAGCGGTCGGACATGGAATTTTTTACTAAAACTGTAAATTTTTAAGTTTATTTTGTCATATTTTAAATTTTATGGGGTGTTTCTAACGGAAAATTTCACGAGGAAATCAATGGAACCACTTTTAGAACCTCAACATTTTGTATAAATGGAGATATTAGCGTTTAAAGTTTCCAAATTATGTCCGGCCTCTCCTATTGACTCGATCCACTGTGCGGCGGCGGCTTCATCGTCGCTGACGCCACTGGCGCTTTATATACTTCCCATTCATTCTTACGGTCCTCGACTAACAAGCACACCCCTTCTCTGCCACCTATCTCTATATAGTTCCGTTTAGCAGGAATAAGCTAAACAAATTATTCCCTCTCACAGGAAATGTCCTTCAAAATTCAAGGGTAGTTTCTAGAGCAATAGTTAGGTGATACTGTCGAGTAGAGAACCGAACGTATGTTTAGCTTCAAAACCTAAAGAGAATTTAAAAATATCAATCAGAAATAATACAAACATCTAGAGTACCCTCACAGGAGAGTATATGCATACCAATAAGGGATGCGTCTTTGATTAGCTGAGCCATTTCCATTTTTCCATCATAAAGCTGCTTAGGACCCCAAAAAAATGGTGGACGGTGCAAGCAAAGTGTCTAAAGTGGTCGAAAATGTTGTTTACTCAACTCTGATCGCATCTCTAGTCATTATCTCTGGTTTTGAAACCAATTATGTGCACCAATGGGATAGGTCCATTTTCATCTCTTTGTCTATGGCTCAGTCCATCAATTTCAATAATCACCTCTCTGGATTGTTGAATCGTTAAAGAAAAATATTGAGCGATAAATAGCATTGGTAATATAGTGAGATTTATCGATTACGATGACGATTACGATTTCAACGATGATTAAATAATCGACTATTGGTTTGATTTTCAGCTAATTTTTCACAGTCCGATGGAGATCGCAACAGAGGCGCATTCCTCTTTCGCCGTGAAAATGGACTCCTACAACATGATCAGAGTGGAGCCCACGACTCAAAGCACGAGCGCTAACATCTTGGGATGGCCGCCTGAGAAACGCGGATGCTATCTGGACCACGAGAAAACCCTCATCTACTTCAGGAACTACACCGAGGGGAACTGCTACACCGAGTGCGAGAGTAATCGCTCCTACGTCATCTGTGGATGCGTCCCTTTATACTTGCCTAGTAAGAAGCCCTTCGTTGGCCTTGTCTCCACAGGACGTTACACGAGATTTTTCCCAAGCTCGAATCGCAGGAACTAAACTTCTAGGCTTTTTCCCCGGTTCATCAACACAATAAACTTTATTCTTCTTCTTTTTAAATCGTTCCCAGGACTCCACAAAGACTCTTAGTTAGTACTGTGATCTATATTGACTAATTCATTATTTTTCCCTGGTACAGATCCCATGAAACGTCCTGTGGAGACAAGGCTTTATGTTATTCAATACTGAAAGAAACTGGAACTAAAATGAACAGATTATTCTCCAAACAACGTGTCATCTCAAGTGACGGCACATCCGAAATAAGTGCAACGAGGGTAAGTTCATCCAATGGAGACCATCCAAAATTGACAAGAGTTAAAGAGCGTATTTTCTCGTCCAGCACATTTGGGTCGGGAGACACGCAGGAAAATTTGGAGACTTGAACGCAGCGTAAGAAATGTAAACCATTTCATGACGTGACCACTCTCTATTATAGTCCAATCCTATTGGCTTTGACAGTCATCGTGAGAAGTATTCTATTGTCCAGCACATTTGAGTCTAGAAAAAAACAAAGGGAAACTCGGAGACTTAAACGCAGCGGGAGAAAAGTAAACCATTACATGACATGGCTATTCTCTATTGGTCCAGTCTCAAAAGATACCGAGGTGTCACGCCTTGGTATCTTTTGAGACTCCAAAAATCCATATTTTCTAACCGAATTTAATGTCCGCAGCACAGTGAGTGAGGTATGCCGATGCCTCGCAAGATAATTGGCCAACGGAGGCTTAATTAATCAGCTTCATTATCGCTAGTAAAGACGGACTATACTGCGAGTGAGTAACTGAAGTTTGGTGTGAGGAACTTGAACGTTGGTGAAACATTTGCTGTGAGTAATTGACCCCCCAAAAAATATAATGAGTCATCTATTATGACCTATTCTTAAAAATATTTTCAGTGACGGGCTATTGGATAAAGGATAAAGTGAAGGATAAAGGTGACGTGCACTTCTAAGGGGCCCGGGCCCCACACGGGGGAGGAGGGAGTATGGAATTATCCCAGGAAAACGAGTCTGAGGGCCCTACCGACTAATTTTTAAAAATCTTCAAACCTAAACATTGTCAAAAACACGGGGGCATCTAGAGACCTGAAAAATCGATAGTTATCAAGGAAAACCTCGAAGAACATCGTAGATTTGACTTCACCTCACTGGCAGTTTGTCTTCAGTTTCTAGTTTTGGCAACCCGATAGTGGTATATTACTCTCAAAAAAAGGGACAAGGAAAATTCAAAACTACTAAAATCTCTATATTCGTAGCTGCAAAATCATTGATGGCCTAATACTTTACATGTTAACATAGGATGTTTTATTTCATCCATTAAATACAAAATTCGGATAGATGGAAAAGCTAGAAAAACTAAAATTACCAAAGGTAAAACTGTTCAAAAAGATTCCATAGTTTGATTATCTAAGTCATAACATTTAATTAAAGACTCAAATGTTAAATAAACCATTATATACATAACTATATTACTTTATGTATATATTATTCTACCTCTCCTTCTCTATTGCTAATGATTAATACTTTCTTTTACTTGCCCTTTGCTCTTATTTAAATGCCCCAATTGCTCGAGAGTAATAATTCCCGAGGAGTCCAATCAAGACGTTTTGCCGGGAGTGGTAACTTTACCTCCCAAATTTTTTTTTTTTTTTTGCGAGACATTTTACTGCTCATATTTTGACTTTGCTGTAAGGAAAATAACTTAATCACGTGTCACACTCAATCGGTCAGTTGTCTTTGTTGAAAATTATAATATTTCAGCTTTAATTCTGAACAATTTAGCCAAAACCCATTTGGGCCCATTGGTGGCCCATCCTCAAACTTCAAAGATTGGCGTTTTTGCAACAAAAAAAAAAAAAAAAAAAAAAAAAAAAAAAAAAAACTTGACTTTGCATGATACACATAATGAGGTCCTGCGCGCCATAAATATGATCCAGATAAAGTGAGTGGGAGTGTGGCTACAAAAAAGTACTAAAAATGCAAATTTTGTCATGTTAAGCGGGGCACCGGTAAAAAATTAACACTCGGATCAGGTCAAGTACTGTTTAATCCAATGCAAACTCCAATGTTTTCATGCACCGCATAACAGCTGTTCGTCGAGCGCTTGCATTTTAAGGAAATGCATGACTGACGCTTATCCCAGATTTGATCTTTGATTTTAAATTTTTGACAAACAATAACCGCTGTCTTAAATTTTGTACCTGCTAATGACAGCAAATAATGTGCAGAAATTACTTCTACTTACTCAAATTGGAAAAGTATTATTTTATTTTATTTTCCGAGTCACTGAAAATTTTGAAGGAAAACATATCGGCATAATTTTATATAACACTGAAAGAAGAAGAAACTAACTTTCAAAAGTTATATTCACTCAAAATATTATATGTCCATAAATTTTCACGCGTGTTTTCAATTTTGTGCAGGACTTGAACACATGGAAGTGTGTGGTCCTTTGTCTACGAATTGTTTCGAAAAAAGTATCGGTAAGTGTAAATTTCAAAACATCTCCAAAAATCATAAACGGATTGGCCGGCGGCGATGAGGAGGAGTTTAGGGGATCTTCATCTGGACCTTTTTCTATGATCAAATAATTTTCCCACAAAAAGATTACTACTCATTCTCATTTTCTGAACTTTATGGACGACTGTCATCTTCAGCTTCCTCTTGAAAGATTGTTTGGTCCTGAATCCTCTACTCCTCTTAATGTGTAGTTTCATCCAATACCACCGAACAGAAGCATTTCTAAACAGATTTACCTCAAAAACTTATCAAAGCAATGGCAAGAGTTGGCAAAATTGAGTTTCGTCGATTTGAAGCAATGTAAAAAAATCGATAACTATCAGAGCAGACTGCCTCAAATGGGCCGGTCATTTACATATAAATGAAGTTAAAAGAAAACTGGTCACTGGCAATTCACAGCAGACATGTGAAAAATTGAAAAACTAGGTACGCAAGAATTATTTGGAGCTTTCTTGCATATAATGAAACTGGTGTCAAGTCGAGAAATTTAAATATTGACGCTTGGTGATGATTGTTCTTACTGAATTTACAGGAGACTTCGATAATTTGGAGGAGTACAAAAAGATGTGTGACTGTAGACCTGCGTGTTCAGACATACGCTATGATGTGACAGGATACTCTATACCTGTTAATTATACTTACATTGACGATTTTCCACCTGAGCAAGGGAATAAAGATCAGAGGTGAGATTTTTCACCTTCATTATAGAAAAATTCATACTATGCTCGTCGTTTCTTGACGTTAAAATTGCGGAAACATGTATCTCGATCGCGATGTTTAAAAATATCCGATCTAATGGGTTTTTAGTATAATATCACTTCACATTTTTCTAGGAATTTTCAGAATTCAATTCTTGAAATAGCGCAGGAAAATCATGATACATATTCCCTAATTCATAGTAGCACATAATGTGACGATAAATCTGCAAAGATTTATGACGCGTCAAGTTTAGTGTAATATGAGAACACTTTTTAACATTTTTAGGTTATTAATTCGTTAAAGTGACTTCGCACCAATTTTCCTCTGTATCTTGCTCTGCAATATACAGTGACATCACTAGACGATTTTTCCTTGCGTCAGATGTTCAACGTTGCAATTTCCGTTCCATTACAAACTTTTCTGTAAAATACTATTTTTCCTGCCATTGTGCGAAGCATGAAGTGCCTATCATTTAAAATTTGAAAATATTGGTGACAACTTTTGTCTTGTGTTAGGAACGTATACTTCAGGCAATTTTTATAATTTCAGGGATAATTGGGCGACAGTTAGCGTTGCTTTCTCTGCACGAAGCTTCATACCAATGCAACGTGATACGGTCAGTCAACTGCATGATTTCATAGGTGAGAAATTTCTCTTTAACAAAGTCTGGAAATGTTAATTTTCGGTGCCTAAAAGGCTGTGAATTAAACTTGCCAGGGAGATGCATTTGCACAAGAAAACACTTCTCATTAAAAGACACGATGATCATAAAATATGACTGAACTGACCTTCAAACGAGAGAAGTAGATACTCCATTCAATTTTTACATTTACTCATATGACATAATTAATGTTTAATGGACGCCATTAACGAGTCAGGCAGTAGGTGCGTTTAAGGTGAACTCAGAACAGTATTAGCTTCAAAGTTGCGCATGTAGAAAAAGTCCAAAAAATGGACATTTTATCCTTTCATATAACGACCTCCTTTCCTAAACACTACATAATTCCATATACCTAAGCTCATTTTCTTAAAATTGTTTTTCCTCATTTTCAGGAAACATTGGTGGCACTCTTGGTCTGTTCCTTGGGTTTAGTTTTATAAGTTTGATGGAGATCGTATATTTTATAATCATGGGAGTAATTTTTACGATTTTCAAAAACGATGGGCAGAATTCTCTTTGAATCTACGGATGCTACCTTTAAGTAAACCACTGAGCACTGAGGACAATGAGTGTCGCTTTCCAATATTAATGAGAGCTCACTGAAAACTACAGCACGACGCACGATGTATTCAATCAATACGACGGTGGGTTTTATTAATCGCAGCTTTGATTGTTAGGCGACCAAGCATATGGATCATAAAAGGAAAGTGTCAAATGGTCAACGTTTTGCACCTAAAAACCTTTTATTTCTGGCTCATACAGAAAGCAACTATCTACATGGGAAAACAAATGCACACATCGGAGTTTCCCTGTCAAAAGAACATGATTCCATTCCGAACTTGGGAAATCGAGTCGAACAGATTTTTTTACGAGTATATGATTGCACGCCCAAGTTTGCTGATTTTTGCGTTCAATGTGAAAAAAAAATATCACGGAAGTTTTCAGCTAGAAATGTGCACCAACTTCCTGGTTAAAATGCAATAAATTTGCGAACGGTTTTACAACGTATATGGGTGTTGTAAAATGAGCAGGAATAAATGGTAATTCCTTATCGCAGAATGCGGTAAAAATAGTTGTTTTAGCGTTGTATTCGTTTTGTTTATTCAACTCTTCAAATATTTGGCATACGTGTTTGATACTTTAATGCTTCTTTCCCTCCTAAAATCTGCATTGAGAGATCATATGCACGGTACACAGTGAATCGGGTCGATAGGAGAAGTCGGACAAAATTTGGAAACTTTAAACGATCATAACTCCGTTTATACAAGACACTGAAGTTATAAAAGTGGTTTCATTGATTTCCTCGTGAAATTTTCTTCTAGAGGCACCCCTTGAAATTTATAATGTGACGAATTAAACATCAAAATTTGCAGTTTTAGCTGAACATTTCCTGATCCACTTCTCTGATTGACTCGATCCACTGTGCGTGCGGTGGCGTCATCGGAAAAAGTAAATATTCTTACCGGAAAAAAAATAACTTCGTGAGGCAGAGCGGACAATAAATCTACTGGTTTACTGTATCATTGTTTGTGATCAAAGATTTACCGTATACTGTTCATTACATGACATAAACTCTTACTGACGTAAAATGCATCTGTATTTGATAAAGGTGGAAGTACTACTTGCGTTGAACAGTTTTTCCCCTTTCTTTTTCTATTTAAAAAAAAAAAAAAAAAAAAAAAAGTATTAAGGTTATATTAGGTTTTTAATCCACCTGAGTATTCTGCAAACCCTCACTCTTGGTCTTCTATTCCGCGCCTGCTTTTGTGCGACTCATAGACACTAGGTATCTACTGACCTATAGCAATGCACGTGTACTTTATCTCAGCGGTAGCTGTCAGTATCTTTTCAAGTAAGTAAATTTTTATGGGCAGTGGTTAATTTTATAAGCAACTCAAATAAGTAACGGACCAAAAATTGGGGTAAAATTACAAAACAATTTCTATTCCAAGGGGCTTCCTTGTAAGAATTTTAACCTGAAGACAAGGGTTGAATACTGAATAGCAATATAATACCCCATATTGTATATCCCCCATACAATACATGCTGTGCATGGACGAGTTTACATTGATTTTCTGCCACGATCCAAAAGTCTTTAGATTCTTGAACTACAGTGTCTCATGAGTCATTTAAGCCACAAAAAAAAATTCTGTCGAGATCCTAAAAGATAAAGGCTATTTAAAAGTATTTTGGGGCTATAAGAGCTAAATCACCAATAGTAAACCCTGTTATATTATTTATAAGAAATTGACTCGATAGTTCAATGCCCAAGTTCCTAAATACGATTATTTTCAGCACTCGAACACATGCTACCAATTTTAGCCGTGTGTTAATTTCCTGAGAGTCGATAATTGCACGAATTTCTCATAGAACCCTCCAAAAATTGGTCTGCTTTTTGGGCAACCGATTTGGCAATCGAACCGGGGTTTCAATGGAAGCTTATAATGACCCAAAGCCCTGAGAAAATGTTTTAGATGAGTATAGGAAAGGTTTCCGAGTTACGATGGAAGGAGGGCAAAGAGACTAAAACGCCAGCTAATTTTTGCCGTTTTCTTGTTGAGTTGCCACAGGCTTCTGTGTTCACATATGGTCTCTATTCAGTACATCAATACTAAAGTATTTTTACACGTAGAATTGAATTTTCATGTCAGGAAGTCGACATTTGCCAATTTGTTAGGTCGATTTTATACGGGAATTGATAGTTTTTTTGGGATTGCAATTATAAATCGTTATTATTGTTTCACGAAAATGTAAATGCACCTAAAATTACTGAACCATGTTGATTCTCACATCTTTGCACTCTTAGAATTGATTTGTAAAATCAACGAGTGGATACACCGACCTGATATATCGAGTTTCTGCAATTTTTTACGGCAAATCGGTGGATTTTCGCGATTAGTTTGCTTATTCTTTCAATTCACAAATGAATAAAGCATCGATACTGGATCAACTACTTTGTATGGCAAGATGCTGAATACAATAAAATAATCACATATTTGATTGCACTTATGTCTAGTCAATTTCTTTTCAATAAAATAATGGAATTTACCACCGAAATAGCTGTTACAGCCCCAAAATAGCTTTGAATCGACTCTATTTTCTAAGAACTCAACAGATTTTGTTTTCCTTTTTTGGCTTAAATTACTCCGTAGATACTGTTTTTTTAAGTAGCTGATACGTTTTTGCTTGGGGCACATCAAAAAACTTAAGCTCGTTCGAATGGCTTTCTACATTTACAGTACGGTATCGTCAAGGTGCGTGACGCACCTCGCAGTGTTGGATCGTAAATTCCCTTCATGTGCTGCTTACCTATGTTAAAACCTCTGTAAATGAAAACTAATGAGGTGGACATACACGAGTCAATGATGCGCCTTATCAACATATTGTGTGCGAGTTCACTGCTTATTTTTTCTTATGCAAAGAAGGCTGGAAAATTTAAGGAACATCGCATAGTGGTCTTCCGTTTGTTTTGCAAATTGGAATTTATGTGTATTCGACTATTTATTCATTTTTCTAATCATTTGCTCTGGTCAGACTTTCAGGAAGCGGATGGTTGGAAGGCGACAATTTATGATGATGTACAACATGGCAAGACTTTGGAAACTTTGTCGGGAGGCCCTTGCCAGGAGCCGAAAAGCTACAATAACGACAAAGCTTCCTCAATCAACACTTGGGGTGGGTGCGTGGTAATTTATAGTGATTACATGTGCAAAGGCACTAACAAAACGATGAAACCCGGGAGTCCTCACCATAAAGATTTCAAACTGCTACACTTCGATAATGTGCTATCTTCCATCGGTCCCTGCCCATAAAGTAAATGAAGTGACCGTGAACATATTGAATCATATAGGACTCGTGGATATGTCGCAAGCTATCGGTCAACTCAGACGTTGTATCAAAAACCGAGGCAGATAGTCAAATTTTAACGCAGTTAACGGGATATTGTTTTATGACGAAGAGCTCACGAGGTTTCAATATTTTCAAATAAATCAATCATTGAATCTACTACCTGTCCTTATTCTTTCTTCTTCAAATGCTCCACCTCTAAAACTGTTTAAGCATCACGAGACTCTAGAAGTGGACGTATCCGTAAAAAGCATTCCCTTGCAGAGTAAATTTATATTTCGAAGGATTTTCACTCATACCCAGCAGCCATGAAATAACATTAAGGGTAAATTATAACACCATTATGCAATTTCAATTGCCAATTTTTAAGCAAAGGTAACTCTCTCCGCAACTCACCAATACTTACTTCAGTCCGAAAAACTTTACAATGGCCATTTCCGGATGCGTTGTACCTGAAGACTGGAATGCATTCTAAAATGGTCATTGTAAAGATTTAGAAAGAATTTCCATCTGAATTGAGTATTGGTGAGTCGCAGAGAAAGTTAAATTTTAAACTACATATAGAGAGTAACTCATAAGCCGTCCATGGATAAAAATGTATTCCAGAGGGTATTTTGCTACACGTTGATGGAAAATAATGAAGATTGAATTTTATCCCTTTTAATTATTTTATCAGTAGTTTCTTGCCAATCTGAGAAGAAAATGTAAAAAGGAAACTGTTGGGTATTTCTGACTGAAGAATTGTGACTAAATATTTCATTAATTTTTCTTTTTATTATAGAGATAGAGATTCGACTTGGACTTTGTGACTAAAACTGGGAATTTCAATGTTTATTTGGACGTATTTCTACCAAACAGACCTATGTGGAGGTGAGAAATATGGGGTGTGCTCTAGAAATCTGTATAAGAAACAATGTAAAAGTGGGCGTGGTTCCTTTTGAAGAATTGGAAAAGCGGGATATTGCATTCTATCAAACAGACCTATGTGCAACGGAATGCGGAACTCATGAGCCGCGGGCATGGCAAGAGAGCCTTGTGGACAGGGCTCACTCCAACGATCTCCCCGTCGTTAGAGTGCGCACTATCATTGCCGCTGACGTCACTGGCGCTTTATTATTCCCATTCACTCTTACGCAAAGAGAACTAACGAGCATACCCCATATTTCTCACTTACACATAGGTCTGTTTGGTAGAAATACGTCCATTTGGTCAAATTTTAAATTTTAAGAGGTGCCAACTGAAGAAAATTCTACGAGAGACCCCATAGAACTCTTTTTTGACTTTTGACTCATTTTAAACGTTATGAATTGTGTCTCAAAAGACTCAAAATTTAGTGTATTTCTTACATTGTTATTTATTTTAAAGTTTTACCCACAAGACACTTTGTAGTTGCTGCTTATATTTTCTTACAAACTCGTAATATATTATCAACACATGAAAAAAAAAAAATCCGTTTGAATTTCTTCCATCCATTTTTCTGCGCTTAGAAAGAATTCAAATGCGAGTCATTTAACGGTTGATTATTATGGGACGCTACGGAATGTGACTGACATAAACGTATGCTTCTTCGTACATACATGTAAGTAATGTAACAAGGTGAAGAAATGATGCTGCGGGTCCACACCATTTCGCGGGGGAAACAAATCCGAAAAGTTCCAAAAATTACAATTAAAGTCAGAAAAAAACTTGTTTGAGCTCTAATGAATAGGTACCGGTACAAAACTGAGGGGAACTTTTGGAACTCTTCGACTTTGTTTTCCCCGCGAAATGGTGTGGACCCAGCATAATTTCTCCACCTTGTTACGTACAGTTTGGACAATTTTTTAGTGTATTTTTCTCATTTGTATGAGATGATAAATAAACTGTAATTATTTTTAATAGCCTCAGTATTTTCATGTTTAAGTTTTGGTCTGAGTTCTTCTTTTTTATTCTTCAATTTTGTAAATAGCATAATGCAGAAATTCCTAACAATTCCAACAATCTGAGTGTTTCTCATCAAAACCTCAAAACTGGATTTTCCGATCGAATCCGACAGAAATCTCGCTCCTGAAAAACTCCGTACGAGGTCCTGAGAGCGTCTGTTCCTGTCCTCGGTCAAAATGATGAGCGCTTTTCAAGATTAAACGCACAACAAATGCGTCAATGATTTCTCAGTTGGAGTTTTGTATTTGCGATTATTCACAGAATCAGGCTGAGGAGAGGTCGAATGCAGTTGCGTGGCGTGATTTGCGATGTATTGATTGATCTGCCATTTAATATTATGGAAAATAATCGATTAACAGGATGTTCGCAATGAACACATTAATAATCTATTCTTTACCATGGCTTCAAATGGTGAACTATTGATAATCAATCATGCCACTGGTTGAATGCAGTGCACATTCCATCGGCATTTTTTCTTACTCGGCGTTCAAGTCTTCAGCGGAACCCGTGGATGGTCATAATTAGAGTATTTTTGCGCGGTCGTAAATTTAAATTTTAACCGCGTTTTGACGCAATTTGAGGCTGACCAAATTTCGAACTTGAGCGCGAAGTTGCAGCTCACGCCAGCCGGCTCAGCTGTGTCCGGTGAAAGGGGAATATACTCATTCATCTTGCATAACCTCTCATAATTTTTTTCCCCCTCGTCTTGGTTTAGTTTTTTTCATTATTTCTATGTCATTACCAAATTGCCAAACATCGACGGACACAGCCGATGATTTTATTATAAAACGGACGGTCACTTTTGAGTCTATCACAGTCTCTCGTCTGGTTTAGTGCAGTCAACACACATCCATCTCCGAAATGGCTTTCCAGGTAAGCTTGTACTTACAGAGGGAAATTTGAAGAAATATTTCATGTTTCAGTATAGAGCAACTTAGAATTTAGAGCTTCAGTTGAATTTTGGAATTTTGTTAGTTTCTATAGTTCCCAATTTTCATAAATATCCAGCTAGTCTTGGCTAATGACATTTTTTGAGTTTTAATGTTTCCATGTTCAAGAATATGATATCCGTGAGAGGGACTCATCCCAAAGTTATATGATCACTTTTTGAAATCAAAATATCAGTTACATCTGTTATAGAAATTATCCGATCTAAGCTAAGATGTAATTTTAACGGTTTAAATGTTTTTTCCTAAAGGCACCTTTTTGAATATTGAACCAATGACAAATATTAAAACAAAGCTTTTATGCATTATTTCTAATTTTAAGTACTCTCGATAAATTTAATTTTGAAACAATAACTCTCACTCAATTCGTGGGGTCAGAAATGAATTAACCACACATTAAAATATGTTTCTCGTAAAGAAACTAACACACAGTTTAGTATGGTTTAAGATTTTTAGGTTGAAATGAATTACTTTTTTAAGAAAAAATGAAGCCTTTAATAATGCGGTTGAGTATCTCACTAACCACGATACAATTACTCGCGTTAGAAATATTCGAGGCTGACTGAGGAGACGTTTCTGACAAGTTTTCGGAAAAAAACATTTGGGGAAATTAAATTATATACAAAAATTAAATTCTTAAACATTCTTAAAATTTGAACCGTTGTGAGCAGATTTTTATAAAAAGAAATATTAAATATGAGAAAATGTAAGGCAATAATGAAAAGTCTTTTAGGTTGAAAAAAGGGAATGGCACACGTCAAAACGTCGCTCGCGATAGACTTGTCAAAACAACGAAATCAGTGGCTCTAAATTTTTATACAGTCACATACCTCCTTCCATGCATTTAAGAATCTCGCGAATCTATTAGCTTAAATTTCGATCAATAAAAAGTTTAAAATTTATTTTCAAACTCTCTTGCAACGAATTATTTCATTAATTAAAATTTTAAAATTTATTCACTCACTTGCGACGAATTATTTTATTTCCAAGAAATATTCCGTTGCAAGCGAGTTTTAAACTAAATTCTAAAATTATAATCCATTAATTTAGCTTGCGCAGAAACGTTGCTCCCTCAATTCAAAAAAGCTTAAATTTTGATTCATATCTTTTTCCGTCTTAATTTTTAAGCGTTCTTATCACTAAAAATAAGGTAATTCTGTGAAATTTTACATTGGAAGAGCTTAGTCTCAAGGGGAGAGCGTGTGGTATCTGGCGCCTGAGAAACCTGCATCATATAACCAAGTGGTCTAATGACAAATAACGGACATTGACCGTCGCGTGTTGTAGCACGCGACAAAACACTAATCCGCAGTAGTTTTGAGGCTCTGGGTCAAGGTTCCTTTCTGTTTCTGTCTCTCTCTGTCATTATTCTGTCAAATTATAACAGCCATAACTGAGTCACATCAGAGGACTATAAAATTTTTTATGCACCCAGCAAATGCAGTCGTATAAATTTACTTACTTAATTATCTTTCTGATGTGTTTTATTGCCACCAACTCTTTAATCCTGCTAGTCGCCAAATAGTCGCGCGGAGCTGAAACGAAATTTCAGCACCAAATTGGGATTGAATTTAGGAAATAAGATCCAACCTATTTGGTTTATTTCTGAAATAACACCTCCACGAGATTTCCATTTAGACGGATAGGAATTTGTGCTTTCTTAGGTCTGCTCATTAAGTGGATGCTTCTCTGATTAACTCAGTCTAATCATGCCAAGTTAATTATTTAAAAACCCAGTAATTTTTTCCGTTGTTTTTATACGTACGAAACTTGTTCGTTACTTATAGGAAGGAACGTGCCTTTATTCTATAGTCTCAAAATTGACTGAAAAAATTAAATTTTTCCCAAAAATCTTTACTAAAAATTTCACTGATTCTTGTAAAAAATTATAAAAAAAGCAGTGAGATTTGCAGTTCATAATTCCCGACGATTTTTTAGTGAAAATATAATTCTAACTAAAAAAAATTCCTGCCGTGAAAGCCATATTTACGGCTTACATAGAAGATATCGTTGGTTTTGGGTGTAGCACCCGTTGCTCCAGCCATAATACCCGGGACAGTCGAAACTACGGCTCCGGCACCCGGTCTCTGCGCCCAGAACGGACGGTATGTCTATATATTCCGTAACATTTTTCAGTGTGCGATTGGAAACTCTGTAAGTTTGAAATGAGGGGCTTGGAGGACAAGGCGCATAAGTGTAGTTTTTGCAATTTGGGAGAACGCATGTTTGAAGTTTCGAAATTACATGGACTCTTATGGCAGAGAGAAAGTTCAAACTGACTTTATGATGCTTTAAAATTGGCATTTTGGGAGCGAATTTTTCACATAATATGTCTTAAGACTAATCTATTTTACGCTGGAAAAAAAACACATTGGATCTAGAGTCCAGCTACTCTTAAAAACATAGATAAGAAAAAGTACCCTTGATTCCATCAGAATCTAGCTTTAATCAAGAACCAAGCCTCTTAATTTAAGCGGATTTCGTTTTGATTCAAGCAAAAATCCGATTGAATCAAGAGTATTTTTTCTTGTCAATGTTTTCAAGAGTCTGGACTCCAGGTCCAATGTGTTTTTTTTTCCAGTGTACTTAAAATCATTAATATCTCAAGTTTTACAAAAATTGCACTCATGCGCCTTGTCCTCCAAACCCCTCAAATGTGGTTACGTTGTATCGTCTGGAAAACGAATTTTTATTTTTCCGTATTTTTCACGTCTCAGAGTTTTAATTGACTAAATTTCTCGTTTTGATTTTAGGTTTGCTTTTTGGTCGCGAGCATGGCCACCATCGCCATGGCTCAGTACGGTAGCAGCTACGGCGCAGCTTCCTCCTCCTCCTCCTTCTCCTCAGGAGGCAGCAAGGGATACTCAGCCCCCTCATACTCTGCCCCCTCATACTCAGCCCCCTCATACTCTGCCCCCTCATACTCCGCCCCATCCTACTCCGCCCCCGCCTACCACGCTGAGCCCGCCTACCCCGACGCCCACCCCGCCTACAAGTTCGCCTACCACGTCAACGACCCCAAGACCTACGACATCAAGAGCCAGGAGGAGACCCGCGATGGACACGTCGTCAAGGGAGTCTACTCCCTCGTCGAACCTGACGGCAGCAAGCGTGTTGTCCACTACTCCGACGAAGGACACGGATTCAACGCCGTCGTCACCAAAGAAGGCGGACACGCCGCCCCCAGCTACTCCGCCCCCAGCTACTCTGCCCCCAGCTACTCAGCCCCCAGCTACTCCGCCCCAGCTTACAAGAAGTAAGCCCCTCAGCCCGATCCATTTGTAAATAGACCCCACATCTCATCGTCTCATCATCCATTATGTTGCATATTGTGACACTCGATTCATTTTTCATGTGCCAAAAATAAAAGTCATTCCCCATGAAACCCTCGTTCTTCCTTATTGTTCCATCCACTTTCAATAGATACAAGTGAAATATTTGAAATTTTTTGATGACGCTCACTTGCATGAATTTTTTTATAAAATTGATTTGACAGAATTTTAAAACAATTTTTATGCAAAAGAGTGTTATGATAATTTTTTCAAATTTTCTACTTGGAGGCAAAAATGTATGTAGTGATATAAACTCCTGATTATTTAGATTAACATTAGCCCGTTGGTTGAACCTGTCTTGGGTTCCAGTTTTGATAATGAACAATAAATTGAAGGATGCCAAAAATCCAATTTTCCATTGTTTGAGCCCAGTAATGTCTGAACTTCTTATCAGACAAAAAAAAAAAAAAAAAAAAAAAAAAAAAAATTAGAAAAAAGCGACTGTTGGTTTTTACCATTCTAGTTCATACCATGGTTTATCGATCAGCCCATACCGGTGATACAAGTGGTCGCAACTGTTAATCAGTGTTGAATTTTAAATTGAAGACTCTCGTTGTGAAAGTACAAAAAATGAACATGTATTTTAGCTTAACAACAATAACTTATTACATCTAAATTTGGTGATAAACACATACATAATAATCACAAAACATAACGTATAAATTAAACAATTCTTAAAAATAATATACACTTTAAATTATCATTAAAGAACGAGATACTAGAAAGAACAGGTATCATCTGCTATAAATAAATAATAGTGCGCATAATACAACAGCATATTGCTGAAAAGATTCATCCTGATGACAGTTGGTATCTAGGTCATGTCCATGTCCTGATTGGAGAAAATACTGAAAGGAAATATAAAGATAGATATTCGGGGTTTGAATGAGAGTTTGAACGGGGTTTGAGTGAAACTGGGAGCTTTCAATTCTTATATTAAATCAGAAGCTCGCTACTGACGTATTTGGAAAATTTGATTTTATAGCATTAAAAATTAGCATTCATGCACAGTGATCCAATATATTTAAGACTGAGTTTCATTTTTACACAAGGCTAATGAGCGCAAATTATAAAATGCCGTCTTTTAAAAAATAATTAATACATCGGAATTCGAAATAAATTAATGAAATTCTTCTATGTGTATTTTAAAAATCTTGAAAATTCTCTCGAAACTCAGAAACTTGACTTAGATAATCACTTACCGGTTCACCGTGGACCAGAATTTAAACAATGCTCAATTTCATTGCAAAATAAAGTCAATTGTTTTTTTAAAGAATCGACCTGATGGGGTTTGAGGAAAATTTCACAACACGAGAAAGCATGAAATGTAAAAATCCTGATGTGAATCATTTTTACAACTACCTAAACTGTAATCTAGGTAGAGAAAGCTGAGAGTAAGAACAAATCATTGGGGAAGGTCAGGTGATCAACTTGATTGGAAGTCATAGGAGTCTTCCTCTGAGCCCTTGGTTACACGAAAAACACCGGTGTAAATTAGCCCTGCCACAACTCCTCCAAGAATGGGGCCAGCCCAATAAACCTGGAAAAAAATAAAATATGGATCAATAAAATCGATTGATTTCAATCATCGTGACAGTCAATTAAGGGGCTTGGAGGACAAGGCGCGTAAGTGCAGTTTTTGCTGTTCCGAGAAATACGTGTTTGGACCTTCGACAGAGAGAAAGTTTCAACTGAGGGTTTGATACTGAGCAGGGGGTTTGATGCCGAGCAGATGTTAAGGGTTGGCATTTGGGAGCGAACGTTTCACAGAATATGTATTCAGCCTAGTCTGTTTTACTCAAAATAATTAATTACTCAATTTTCTCATAAAATTGCACTTGTGGGTTTCAGGACATTTTGTCAACGATTTTTTGTCCGCGCACCTTTTTTGTCCAGTAGTTTACGCCCACACGTAAAATAAGTAACAGTGACTTGGTCCAAGCGTTATATTTTAGTTGGTATGTAAAATTATATTGACAATATGGAAATGAGAAATTGAAAGTGAAGGAGGTGTTGTTATGGTTGCTCATTTTCTAAATGAAATGTTATTACTTTCTCCTTTTGAATCATCTTTTTAAATTGTCATTGGTGAGTATTTGGTTATATTTCTATCCTTAAAATATTCGATGTACAATATACCTTATGTATGTATAGGTACCTTTTTTATTTTTTTAATTTTTTCTTTACGAAATTATTACTTAATTTTGAAAACATTTATATTTTTAAAACGTGACAAATATTTGTAAAACCTTTTCCAAGCTACATTGATCTCAATGAGCCGCAGTTGTGCCGACAGAAACTGCAAAAATGAATAAAAGAGAAAAAAAAACCAAGAAGCACGCAATCTTTAGTTTTAACCCATTTGTACATCGATCTTTTAGAGTCAAATACGTCAAATTTTGAGCGTTTGGTTGCGCGTACACCTCGCTGCAGCACAATGAAAGCACAAAATTTAAAAGAAAAAATTAAAGTGCTTTGGAAATCATTGAATTTGACACGGAACCACCAATATTTAAAAAACACACATTATATTATTATTCTCCTTTGATAAATTGATACATATTTTTCCCATCAATTTAAATGAGAATAATCAATGCAGAGTGTGCAAGCATTTCAAAATCATGAGTTAAAAAACGCTGACTCTGCTAGTATAAATATCAGAGCGGAGCGACGGCGTGCTGCCAGCGCAAGAGGCTCCCTGGTGCCTACAAACCTAAGTGGATACTTCACGCATTGCACCATGCTTGAAGTATCCACTTAGGTTTGTAGGCGCCAATGCGCGTTCCGCGCTGGCCACCCGCCCGCAGTGCGGCGGCGCCTAAAGCAACTATTTCACAACAGAGAAGTTGCACCGTATTATACGAAATTGAACGTATCAAGAATGACAGGCATCCTTTAAAAGTACAGTCCTTTCCCCGCAAAATAAATCTGGATACTTATCGTACACAGGAAAAATCTGAGAGCCTTAAGCTAAGGCAAATATAGAGGTTCATCCGGTTCAGATATAACAAGGTGGGAATTTCTTGAAAGATAATTAAGTCCTGTTACACCTAAGAGGTGTAGAGAGTTTTAGTGAATTTTGTCTCATGGAATTGACGCTCCCCCAGTTTTAGCAGAACTCTCAACTATATATTATTCTCCGTTGGACCAAATAGACAAAACAAAAAAACAAGCAAACCCTCATTCTTCCAAGACATTATAAATTTTCATCCAAAAACATCGCGAGCAAATGTCGTTTGTATTTACTTGTGGGCCAATTAACGTAATTTACTGGAAAAAACAGGTGCGCGCACAAAAAATCGTTGACGAAATGTCCTATAACCTACTTGTGTGTCCTGTCCTCTAATCCTTTCAATTTTTAAATAATTTTATTACGTCTTATTCCTTTTTTTCACAAAGATGATAGAGACGTAATGTGAATAAATCAACTCCACTGCAACATGTCGAGAAGAAACATTTGTGAAAAGTGATATTTTTTTTTAAAAAAATTAAAATTTACTGCTAAAAGCATAATGAACAAAATTAAATGCATTCCAAAACTCCACTAAAATCAAGTTCAATGGTAGCTCCACTGATACTTTGTAGTAAGGATCATTATCTTTACACGGAGAAAAAAACTTCGTACGTGGGACCCAAAGTTTAGGTGATATGGATCTCTGAAGTTTTCGGATTGATTATCCGAACACTTAAGTTCCAGTTGCTGAGGTTTGGATCACACATCCGAAACTTCAGGTCTTACATCTGAAGTACTTCGGTTTTTACATCCGAAAAACTTCGGTTCTCACATCCGAAAAACTTCGGTTCTCACATCTGAAGTACTTCAAATGTAAGAACTGAAGTTTCAGATGTGTGATCTGAACCTCGACAGCTAGATCTAAAGTGTTCAGATGCACAATCTGAAAACTTCAGAGATCCATATGACCTAAACTTCGGATCCCACGCACGATGTTTTTTCTCCGTGTACAAAAGTATCGAGTTTTTTTACAATGTTTTAGAAAAATAACTTTTAGAGCAGGGGATAAATTTATTCAAATTAATCAACGTAAAATAAGCAGAGTGCAGCCTAATGGAAAAACCGTCTCAAATTAGATTGAAATTTCGCCTGCAAGCATAGCTATATCAAGCCTGACTGAAACTTGCTATTTTTTTGCTTTTGCTGCTGGCAAGAAACGTATGTTGCGTGACCACTTTTTGAAGGAGTTTTATTGGCCACGATCAAACGACGACATCATATTGCACTGTGTCAGACTGGCCTGTGACTCCTGTGAGTGTGAGTCTCACGGCGCACAGTGGATCGAGTCAATTATACAAGTCGGACATTAAATTTTTGGATTCAACTGCAAAATTTTGATGTTCATTTCGTAACATTTTAAATTTTAAGGAGTGTTTTTAGAAGAAAATTTCACGAGTAAACCTATGGGACCACTTTTAGAACCTCAAAGTTTTGTATAAATTGAGTTATAAGCGTTTAAAGTTTCCAATTTTTGTCCGACCTCTCCTATCGACTCGAGCCACTGTGCGGCGTTTGCTATAAAATGAAACTGACTGTATGGACATGTACATGAAAGCATCTCTTTGAGGAAATAGTTGTTTTTTTTTTTCGGTTTTATTTTTGTTTGAATTCATATACCTCTCGATTAAGGTTAGTTTGGAATACCTAACTTTCGTTGCACAAATCGTGTTTTATGTGAAATATTGACGAGAAAACATGTATCATATTGCTAAATTTCGCACCTAGTCTAGTGTTCCAATGTCACAAAACAACATAAAGCTGCACCCTCATTGAAAAAGGGCGCCAGGAGCCCGCTAAAGGTTGAAAAGCATACGAGAGAACCACCTTTTAAAGTAAGTTCATTGGCCGGGAAACTAAAACTAGCTGCCTTTTTGTAGAAAGTGTCTATTCAATACCCCTTGCGCCAACTTCGGATTATTTTCTTTAATTTAATTCATCGATAAGACTACTTACCCAATGGTTATCCCAAATTCCACTGACAAGGGCCGGGCCGAAGGATCGAGCAGGGTTCATACTGGCGCCGGTGTATTTTATCTGCAACGTACGATAAACATAAACATGAGACCAGATTAAGTAGCGAGCGTATTTACAAGTGCCGAGTCTTGGCTCCGTCATCTCAGATTTGGGAGAGGACGTCAATATCAAGAGACGTTTTCAAGAGGGATTCGGGTCAAGAGGGTACTCGACAAAACCGAAAACTGAATTGACACCTCTAATAATAAGCCACGTATAAATTTTTCACAAGCTGACGACAAGCTGCAATCCTTTATAGTATATTTGAGGGGCTGAGAGACAAGGCGCATAAGTGCAGTTTTTTAAAAAAAAAAAGAAAAAAAAGATGTTACTGATTTCAAGTAAAACTAGTCTCAATGCATAATCTGTAAAAAATTCCAAATTCCAATTCTTAAGCATCAAAAAGTCAGTTCAAACTTTTTTCCGCCATTAAGATCCACGTAATTTCGAAATTCCAAACACCTATTTCTCGATATAGTAAAAACTGCTCTTATGCGCCTTGTCCTTCAAGCCCCTCATTCCTGAGGTTTATACATTTCAGTTGTATCATAGAGAGATGAAAACAAAAGATGAAAGGTTTTGGTTTGAGATAACAGAATTTGATACAGAAGAAAAACGTCAAAAACTCTCCAAAAGTACGTTTAGATTTTTTATTGTGATCTGGAGAAAAGTTCCTGATGCAAAAGAGAGACGGCGCACTCTCCATGCAAGAGTCTTGGTGTATCTGTTGAAAGTTCCTGTATTTTCGTTTTCAAATAGTACATTATGATTGCACCGGTCACTCATAAACATTTCCTCCCTATGATCAATTCATCCGGCAAGGGAAAAAAGGAAAAGGAAAGTGTTTCATTTACATGCGGAAATAGTAGAACTTCGATTCGGTAAAATTCTATCCAACGCAGCGGATGAATAACGCGTTTGCTGACTACGAAACCGGAATGCAACCATTCGTGCTCTGTGGCTATCTTTGCTGCATATCCAAAAAAATGAAGGCATTTTCATTTTCCGTATCCTGAAGTGTTATTTATTCCTTGTTAGCGTTAAAATTTGTTTTCCTTGAGAAAAAAGATAAAAGGGAGGAGTGCGTATGCTCGAATAATTTTTGCATAAACCAAAGAATCCTAGTATCTGATTTTCCTCCAAGTGGATACCTATTAATGGGTTTGGCTTAGAGTTTATGGACAACGTTTATGGTAAAAAAAAAGGAAGCAGAGGGAACAGAGGTTATTAGAAGAGGAGGAAGGAGAAAAAAGATGAGTTATGATTGTAAAAATATGAGGAACAAGAAGACAAGGAGGAACAAGAAGACAAGAAGGAACAAGAAGAGAAACGATAAATATAAGGAAAAAGAAGAAGAGGGCATAGGAGGAGAAGAAAAAAGAAAATTAATTTCTTTTCCCCCTCTCTTTCTACTTCCCTCTCTTCTTCTCCTAATTCTATCTCATTTTTTCTCCTCCTCCTTATTTTCTTACCTTATTCTTCTCTCCTACTCTTTCATCGGTCTCTTTTCTCAGTTGCAGGAAGGCAAGGACGCGGAAGACCGATTGAACTACATTACAACATTATTTAGGAACCACTATTTCTAGCTCACTGTAGAAACAAACGTAAGCGTCATTGGTCTCTCTATTCAGATAAGTGTTTTTATAAATGAGTCAGAAATTGAAGTTCTCAATTGCAAAATAAAGTCCATTTCGTCTCATTGTTATCAACTTCAATAAATCTATTTAAATCGAAAGATCTAAATTATCTTCAACTTCCGGTCGGGAATTCTGTCGATATCGAGTCAATCAGACGCTGGTTAAAAAGAACTGTTCCTCCTCATGGATGCGCTTTACCCTTGAGCCGCGATTGGCCATAGGGACAGAAGATTCCAGGCAGGGGGTCAGTTGAACTCAGAGGCCATAGGTTACACAATCACTCACCGAGTATCGAGTTTGTTTGATGTTCAGTCGCGTGGCGGACTTTTGGATGAATCGATATCAGTCATTTAAACCTACGTAAAAGGATCGATTATTAGGGTACTCGCAAAGAATGCCTTAATAATCGATTCTTTGCCATAGCTTCAAATGGGAACATATCGATAGTTGATTTCACACCTCGCTACTGGCGATGTTTCGCCTCGGCGGCGAGCCGGGCGGTGAAAAGGAACAAAGGTATCCCATTGAGGTGCAGTCAAAGTTTGGTTACATTATGACAGACCTTGACAATTTCATTACTGTGTGCTGAATTTTGTTGACCACGACTCTCGTCCGTTTTGTCAGATTGATAAATTGAAATAAGAATAAATTATACCAGCATTTAAGGTCAGAATTCCGTGTTTATCATTGTACCAAATGCAGCCTACGCCCTTTTAAGATCACTTCCCGGGTCAAAAATCAAAACTTTAAAAAAATGACCTCATCAAGAGATTATTTCTTACCAATAGTCGTAAATTTATGGGAAAAGGCTGAATGTAAGGATCGCATTTAGCAAAAAGGAACCAGCGCGATTACAATGTTTTCAAAATCGTGCAACTTCTTATTCCCTTAAAAATACTCAATATATGTACAGTATTAACTTTTACGCAGTTATTTTTCTTTAAAAGTAAAAATTTTTCGGTGAGGAACAAAATATATTTCCTACTCTCTACATAATCATGAAGAATCAACATTTTAACAACACTGTAATTGCGCTGGTTCGCTCTTTGTTAAAGGCGATCCATATATTGTAGAGCAAACCTGAAAATATTATTGACCGCAATAAAATTCATTTATTGATCCACACGGAAACTTCTGTGTGGATTTAAACGGTATAGTCAATATTTTTAGGTTTTTCCCAACGGGCAGTTAATTCAATTGGCTGGATATTAACCTAATTTCGAGATGCAATCAAAACCACTTGCAAATCTTTGCAAATAGTAGTTATGCTCAAGGTGATGGTGGAAATCTGCCAGCTATTTGTAAAATTCACATTAAACAGTTGCTTTTTGCAAACGGTCTTGACCTTCCGACGGATGAAGCTCCGTCAGCAATTAGGTTATGTTTGATCAACTGAAAAAACAATGGCTCGGCTGAAACTGAGCGTCTATTTGGATTACCTCTACGCCGCCGCTCTCACCAATGGAGCCGCAACCGAAATGCCGCGATTTTTTGTAAAATCATCCTATGTCTACAAACTACGAAAGAGTCAAATCAAATAGCAGAATAGCAATCTGTGATTTGGATTGATCTAGGTATAGGAAAGAATTAATTCACATTCTCCTTCTCCGCTTTTAACTACGTACCTACGTTTGAAATTTTCTCTTGACCTGAATGGGAGATTCATTTGCACTTTGTAAAACTTATGTGGAAACTGTATTTTCCCTTATACCTTATGGCATGAAAATGTTACGCCCCTTTTATCATTGTACATTGGCGGATCTAGACACCTCGAACGGAGGGGCGTATGAGGAAGATGAGGGATCTATGGGCCTTCTCCTGGAGAATTTTAAAAATTTTGAAGCATCTAATATGCAGTTTCGATGTCATATGAGGGGCTTGGAGGACAATTAAGGCGCATAAGTGCAGTCTGTGAAAAAATTGAGAATTCATGAGCTTTACTGAAACTAGGTAGTCATAAAATAAATTCTGTGAAAAATTCACGGCTAAAATCCAACTTTGAAGCATAAAAAAAAGAGTTTAAACTTCCTTCCCGTTGTAAGGCTCCATGTGATCTTGAAACTTTAAACACGTATTTCTGGAAATAACTAAAACTGCACTCATGCGCCTGGTCCGCCTTGTCCTCCAAGTCCCTCAAATGCAGTTTTGCTGTCATTTGCAGTTTCGATGTCACATGCAGTCTCGATGTCATATTCAGTTTCGATGTCGATGCGGATCCGGTTAGAGGTAGGGCTTACCGCGGCTAGGTGGCAGCAGGTGATGGCAAAGCCGATAGCGACACCTACGGAGCCCTTAAGGTCGGTGCGGCGGACGTCGCAGACGGACTGGACGACGAGGATGAGCACGAACGTGATGATGGCTTCGACGATGAAGCCCTGCTTGGCGCTCAGCTCCGCGGAAACCGTCGTCACTCCCAGGTTCCCGCCTTTCCCGAACCCGCTGCTCGGACTGATTTCCTGCAACAGAAAAAAACCTCTCATATAGCTGCGGCAACAAAAAAGGGCGCAACTGCACTAATTTTCACAATTAGGATATACTACTGTAAGCGTATTTTACAAACAACGTAATTGTTTTGATTTTCCCAGGTAATTTCCAAGTAACTTCAGAGGAATCTTTTTAGAGACAACTTCGAACTTTGACGTGCTAGATAACGGCGGTAGCATGATGGGAATACAAGGAGGAGAGAGGATGTTTGCAGGTTATGGCTTTATACCCGCTGATGTCGCTAATTACGCTTGAAAATTAGACTAAATTTTGCAGTTAGAAACTACGATTTTTGGGTCAGTTCAGAAACAACGCTCGTACCATTAGTTTCCTTATAAGAATAAGTGTTTTTTGGGACGAGCCAAAAATTTCAGTTCCTATTTCCAAAATGCGGTCCATTTCTGCGCATTTACTGCTTTCTGAATATAGATATCCTCTTGGCATAAAGATGTAACCACACTTCGCCGTGAACCTTATTCGTAAAACTCTATGATTGAATGAAGTCGGAAGTGACGTCAATTTGGACTAAATTTTGCAATTTGGAACTACCATTTCTGGCTTACCATAGAAACAACGAATGTACCATTAGTTTCCCTATGAGCATAAAGTGTTTTTACGGATGAGCCAGAAATTGTAATTTCCAATCGCAAAATTCTGTCCATTTCTGCGTACTTACTACTTCTCGACAACCATCATATCGTTGTCCTCCTGACGGCGACGATTGGATTGCGCAAATGCTCCCTTTTTTACCTTTTAGGAGATGCACAGGACTACGCGAATTGTTCTGGTACTGAAAACTCACATTTTTCCGAGCAATGTGCAATATTAATGAGGAAGAGTTAATCTGGCAACCTTGGTAGTTTGTGGTAAATAACTACATCGTGAAAGACTTTTCATTTCCTCCTCATTTACGGGCATGTCTCTCTTCGATGGATAGCCTTCGCAGCACGAATGGCCGAGAGAACATTCATAGACATTTTAAAAGTGAACTAGGGGCCCGCGGCCACTGAAAGAAACTACACGTAAAAAATCGTAGAACAACCATGTTTGAGAACCATGAGTTTTTGTATCGTTACAATGAGGATACATATTTTCCCTTTAATTATGGTAAAAACTGGAGCATAAAATCGAGAATGATGACACGCAGTCCTACAGCATGCCTACAGTCTTGTGGGCGCTACTATGCGTTCCTCGTCAACTGACCCCCTGGGCGACTGCTTTGCGTTTGGCGCAATGCGTGAAGTATTCCCAGAGTCTTGCAGGCGCTAATAATATACATTTAACGCCGCGCCGCGCCGGTTGCACTGTGTTTGACGCACTTATTCGAACACGCGTTAAAATAATCGCGGCATCGAATAGCACCGTATAAGCAATCCAACGTTGCCTCGTTTCCCCCGATTACATATTTTTTCCGAGGGAGGTTAGGACAGTTCTTTATACCCACGACTATTATTCAATCTTTTAACTTCATTTATCATCAGAAAGTAAGACACTATCGACGACTTGTCCACGAACTAACCTAAACTAGCGTTAACATAAAAATGTATTTATTTCCCAACTGTTTCCTGTTTTGAAAAACTTCTACCCTAAATTAACTTCATTTTAAATTCGAGCATTCCTGTAGCAGATGTTAAGGTTCCTATTCGCGCAACCTTCGTGCCTTTTTCGTGCAATCCCTGATTACCGCTTTTGACATAAGGACGTAACCGCACTTTACGATGTACCCTGTCATCCATATAACTTGATTTTTTCCCGGGCTCATCTCTCGGTGTAGTTACGCTTTTTTCGTTAGCCAAGAGCCACTATATTGGACTGCATTATGCAATTAGGAACTACAATTTCTGACTCAGTTAAGAAACGACGTACTTGTTTCCCCATACAGATACGTGTTTTCATTCATGAACTAGAAGTTTCAGTTCCTTATTGCAAAATGAAGTCCCACTGCAAATGCGACGATCTTTGCTGGTTTAACGAAATTTAATTGGTGACATTAGTGGAATTTGGTAGAAAACTCGGTCTCGAAAATTTTGTTGTTTTACTACTATTTTAGGTAACACGGCAGACAGCTTGACAGGAGTCGGGCGGGTTTTCCTTGTTCATATCCCTAAATATCTTCTGGGTAGGGCAAAACCTTGTAACTATTGTTAATCGCGCATGACTTCTCGGTGGGGTAGCGAGGTGGTCTATGCGGGATTCTTGCGAATTCTTGTGGGCTGTGGTACGCAGACCTTGCAGTAGTTTTAATTGCTCCGTTTTCTTTGATTGCAATTAGATCACGTTTATCCGATGAAGAATTATCACACGTATTTCATCATACTTCTACGAACCTCGATACCCACACACGAATGTAGCAGAGTTCTCTAAATGAAACGCATCGAACTATTTTCCGTCATTATTTTACTTTACATCGCCATGACTGAGCGATCGGTACCTGTTTGACAGACTTTTTGTGAGATATGCCATTTTTATACGTCATTTTCATTCTGGAGTAAGTAGGCACAAATATCATTGGAGAGTGAATGGTACACTGTTGAAATTATTTCTTTTCCTAATTTACTATCGGTTATTATTAGGAGTGAATCACAAACAAACTCAAATTCTGTGTCGGTCTCTGTACAGTTTACGTTTAATTTAGCACAGAATACAATGGAAAACCGGAAAAAATCAAGGGGTTGAGTTACCTTGCATTCCCTTTATCTACTTCCCATATTAACACAATTTTTCTTTTATATTTGTGTCTCAAAGTGGGGCATAGCCAAAATAAGCCGGCAAGGTTGGCCACTTGGTCAGTGCGTTTGACTCTCATGTCTGTAGGTCCAGGTTCGAATCCCAATATTGATGACAAATTTTCTCGAAATTGACGAAACAGATTTCACTTGAACCTAATCCTGGAAAATTTGAAAGCCTAGAGATGGATGTGAAATCGCGGCAGCTTAACTGGGTTGTAAAGGGAGGAAGAGAATGGGAAAAAGTACCATTCGCGATGGATGACGTTATCCACGGTGTTTTCCAAACGCAATATTTGGCTAACATTGAACTCGTAAAGACTTGACATTTTGACAAATTTTATTATTTGAAAGTCCTAAAGACTCAACCAGTAGACCGCGATTCGGGGTCTAGCGCGCAAGTAAATCATTCTCGCTAAAAGTCGTGCAGGCAAAATAGACCAGATTTTTATCTTCTCAACTTCGCTCAGAAGTTAATTCGCATCTTGATGTAGCTTCCGTTTCGTTTCCGTCTCGTAATGATCTCATCACCTTCAGAACGTAAAGTGAGTGTTTACGACCCGCTCCGCAATATCCTCCTTTGTTGTTGTGTTTGCGTCAGAAGATTTTCACTGTTACAAGAAATCAACGTGAGTAGCGATTTCAAAATAGGCGAAAACCTGGGCTGAAACTAAGCAGAAAGGAACCAAGCTACATCAGCTATTGCCAAATTTAACTGGACAATTTAATTGCTTGCAAGAGAATGCTTGTGCGGATCATTTTGAAAAAAATTAAGGAATTTGCTTGGTACTATGCAGAAAATTCACTGAAATTTGCACAAAAATCCGCATAGCCGTTTTCGTGTAAAAAATCAAATTGCTCAGTTAAATTTGGCAATGGCTGGTGTGGCTTGGTTCCTTTCTGCTTAACGCTGTCTATTTATGACACTGAATGTGAACAGTTTTGGTGATTGTAGAATGAAATTATACTTTTTAGGTATTCATGAACCTTAAAATCAGAAAAAATAAGCTACCTCTATCTTGTTGCTCATCTAAATGTTAAACATATTGCACTCGAAAGGAATGAATGAACATTTTTATATTTTTATATTATTTCTTAAGATTTCTCACGCCTGTTTCACATTAAAATTCATCCTCGACAAGGCAAAAAATAAAATATTACGTCACGTTGATTCTCTTTTGCGGTTACCCTGTGCAACGCGACATCCAATTTCGGAGCGTGATAATTTAAGTACGCTTCTGTGGCTTGGTTCCTTTCTGCTTAACGGGGTCCAATTAAACTTTGAAAAACCTGCTCTCCCTCGGGAATTTTTGAAATTGAGGATATCCAAACATACCCAACTGATTTTTTTCCGGAAGCCGTTCCAAAGCTAGTTTCCGAGGCCTAGCACACCCAACCAGCGCGGACCTAGCTCCGACCCGCAATAATCGCAATTGCACTGTTCTCCGAAAGATTGGAAGTTACCGGATAGCAAACGAGACTCCACGGCGCGGCTATTATTTCAATCTTCCCCGGCGGAGCCTCGCTAAGACTCCATTAATAATAGAGCTGTGGGTTTCCCTGAACCCGTCCGGCCCTGCAGAACACAGGAATTCATGACGTCCATCCCGCGACTTGAAATGCGCGTCACGGACGCTCCAAGACTCTTCGCGGATAGCCGCTATGCGCTGGTATGCGCATCGCCGCACAGTGGATCGAGTCAATAGGAGAGGTCGGGCATAATTAGGAAACTTTAAACGCTAATATCTCCATTGATACAAAATTTTGAGGTTCTAAAAGTGGCTCTATTGGTTTCCTCGTGAAATTTTCCGTCAGAAACACCCCATAAAATTTAAAATATGACAAAATAAACATGAAAATTTGCCGTTTTAGTCAAAAATTCCATGTCCGACCTCTCAAATTGACTCTATTCACTGTGCGCCGCGGACCCAGTGGTCGCTGGTGTGAAAATCCCGCCTGGAGGACTGGAGTACCGGCATGAAACCGCGTTTCGATGCGAGGTTCCTTGCGGAGATACGAGGTTTTGGAAAAAAAGTTGGAAGTGGGGATGTCCTGCTTTATCGTCGGGTTCCATCTTGCACGTGTTTTCCGCTCTTTTTGGCGCGCCGTGCCTTGAATATGTTCATCATGAGGGATTGTGCCAAATCGTCGTCTGGGGATTCAATGGGCGGGTAGAAACATTAATCATTCCGTCAGAACTAGGCGCGAAAATGTATAAGTCAGTATATTTGCATATATATCGGTATATCGACGGTGTAAGTCGGCAATCACATAACTCGTTTGCAGTGTCTGAAATTCTCCGCTTGTATGTTATTCTTTTGTAGGAGACAAATTGACATCATTCTTTGAAGTTTTTGCAGAATTTTCTTCGCACAGAGAAGATAAATCACGGCAGTTTTAAAGAGTTGCCATTGAGTAGTTTTCCTTTTAAAAAATAAAGAATGACAGGAAGTCTGCGACGTCGCAAACCGAGTTATGTAATTGCCGACTTACACCGTCGATATATGGATTGCATTTTACAGAAAGGGACCAAGAGCATTTCAACGTTGCTGGGATTGTGCAGCTTACACTCTTTGCAATAAAATGACTGAAATAATGCACAAAATTAAATTTACAAAGGTAATTTTCGTCTCGAATTTATAGTTTATTGAAAGTAAAGATAAAACTTATTTTAATTATCAGTTTATATTTGCAAGGTGAAAAAAATTGCACAATCTTAGCGACGTTGGAATACTCGTGGTTACTTTTTGCAAAATTCAATCCATATATGTGTCTACATACAGTATATAATTATAGATTTTCACGAAATGTAATTTTTTGAATATCCATTGCTTTTTCGTCTTTATGACGTAGCGGAATATTCTATATGAATTTCAACCTGTAAAAATGGCATTTTCATCTTTGAATAAATAAAAAAGGGCAAGAAATCTTGAAACACCGCAATGGAGATACGTCGTTTCGTACTTTCCTCATCGATATACTCGTTCTTTTTCTTGGCACGGCCGCACGACACCTGACTGCTTGCAAGCTCTTATTTGGAGCGATAATAACGAAACAAAAATATGAGATCGCTCACGGCGGAAAATGCGCAATTTCTGGTTCCCATTAAGAACTGGAAGAAGACAGCACTGACATTGGCCTTATCTCAAGGTCAGTTTCCAATTAGTTTTTTTTTTTTTTTTTTTTTTTTTTTTTTTTTTAATGTGCGAGTCTAGTACATCAAAGAATGATAGGTGCAACTTTTCATGTTGATAGCCATGTTTTGCTAAAAGACCCTATTATTCTGCCGTGCCTAAGGAAAGACGCCGTATGGACATTCTAGAGTTGCCACATGTCCTCCGCTAAAATGTTTATTTTTTAGGAAAGTTATTAATATTCTTCCTTGAAATTTTCGAACTATTTAGATCATATTACGAGCGAAATTCTCTGAAAAATCTGAAGAAAAATGTTGATAAATATTCCTGAAATTCGTGCTTTATTAAAGGAATTTTGGCAATGTGTGACGGCTTGTACGGCGTTTTTCATTAGCACGGCAGTATTGATCTGGAATCCTCAAGGAAAGTTGGCAAGAGTGGCACATTCGTCATGGATATCGGTAGTGTATCGGACCGTGACACATTTGTTTTCGATGTTTTGACACGCATTGATAGACCCAGTCGTATTGTCGACAATTACACACTTGCAGACGGCTTTATATAGGGCACAGAACCTTTGGGCATCCTTCATGATCACGGAAATCGCGAATATGCTACACCTTGATACGTATAAATGGAGAAATCGTAGGTTTGTGAAATCATGTACGTCACATGCAAACAGTCGGCATTTTGTCAAATTAGGGGCTTGGAGGACAAGGCACATAAGTGCAGTATTTGCTATTCTGAGAATTACGTGCGTTTGAAGTTTCGAAATTACATGGATCCTTACGGCGGAAAGATGGTTCAAAATGATTTTTTGATGCTTAAAAATCTGAATTTGGGAGCAAATTTCTCACAAAATATGCATGAAGACTGGTTTCACTTTAAGCCATCAATAACTCAATGTTTTCAAAAACTGCACTTATATGCACCTTGTCTTCCTAGCCCCTCAAATACTCCAGTAAAGAGTAAAATTTCTAGGACCTCTGAAATTTGCATGAAAAATATTTTCTATTCTTTTAGGGGTTTAGGGAAGATGAATCGAACCACAATTTATTGTTTCCTTTCAATGTTCTCCTTGCCGATTTAATATGGTCAAAAATATCGAAAAGCCTGTGACTGCAGAAGTCACGCCATAAATAACAATTTCAATACTTGCGCATTGTATTAATTCAGTTATTTGCTGGAATATACCGGGGCATTGTTCCAAGGGACCGACTTCTACTGGATTTTTTTGTTCGAACCTGTGTTTCTATTAGTTCTCGATCGAATCAACGTCGATCGGTTCACTTTTATCTGCTTCAATCGATTCTTGTTGATCCCTCACTACCTTAACCCGCCCGTTTGGTAAAAGATCATATTTTTGTGAGCCTCGAGTGAACTTGCCATTTTATGTCGATACCACTATTCGACCACGTGGGAGCTCGTATTGCATACACTATAAATTGAAGGCGAACCGATATGACGCTTGAGTAACCGCCTCCCGTTTGGTGAAATGCTGTTATTTCAGTGGGTTCTGAGTAAGTGTGCCATTTTACAACGATACCACTATTTGACCACGCGAGAAAGTTTGCACCTTTGTAAGAAAAGACTTCGAATATTAATGTACGAAATAATAACTAGTTCTCGCCTGAGGCACCCAAAAAATTCCTAATTCTACCATTTGCATGCAATTCATATGGACCAGAAGTATCAGGAAGGAACCTAGTCTTATAAAGATCGATCTGGAAAAAGAGAGGCTTGAAGTTTCATTCCATGCACCATCCAATTCAATGCAAGAGATCATGTTCTTATTTTCACATTCAAAATATTTTGTCTGAACTTTGCATTTTTGACAGAATTATGTGCGGTTTATTAAGCTCAAATCTGCCTCCAACTCATTTTTCAAAACTTGAATCGGTGTTTTCCTGTTTCATTCAGACCATGTACGTTAAACGCCGATATCCGTCATGTTTTTCGAAGAGCGATAGCTATGTTTATGTAGGATGAAGATAATATTCGACGTTCTGGTGGATCTTCTTCATGATTTACGATGATAAATGTAACCACAGAGGTCAACTTACGCTCAAAATAATTGCTCCGACGACTGCGCCCAAACACTGGACCACGATGTAGAGAACTGCTTTGATTAAGCTGATATGTCCGGAGATCGCCAAGCCACAGGTCACTGCTGGGTTGATGTGACATCCACTCACATGACCAATTGACTGAAAAAAAAAATACAAGTATGTTGTTATGATTGCATTTTCAATTTATGAGATCCTTTTCCCATTTGGTTAGATTCAATATTGACTAATTGAAGTAGAGCTGCGGATAATGAGCTCAGGGTTAGTCTATCATGTCCCTCCGTAATCTGATAACTACAGCACCCGTTTTAACCGAAAGGATCATCGCTCTATCTCTACTCTTAATCTTCTCTGTCTATCACTTTGTTGATTAATTTCAAAAATCAGCCCGTAGTATACATATGCGGAGCCAAAGTAGGAGCGTAGTAGGCGCCCACCCCTCCTTCCCAGTCTGCTCCCAAAAAAATAAAGGAAAAGGGAAGAAAGGAAGAGGGGAAAATGATGCTCGTATTTGGTAATTGGGGGGTCTTGGAGGACAAGACGCATAAGTACAGTTTCTACTATTTTGAGAAATACATGTTTGAAGTTTTGAAATTACATGAATCCTTATAGCGAAAAGAAAGTTCAAACTGACTTTTTTATGCTTAAAAACTGGAATTTGCGACCGAATTTTTTACAGGTCATGCATTAAGACTAGTTTTGACTAAAATCACTAATATCTCAATTTTGTCCAAAAAAATGCACTTTTGCTCCTTGTCCTCCAAGCCCCTCAATTATTCATGACGAATTTGACTCGTGATGCATATTAGATCCTTTAAAATTTCGAAAAAATTTTGAAGGGTGCCACCCGAACCCCCCTTCTATCCCTCCCCCTTGGAAGTGTCCCGCTTATGGCATTATATTTCCTTGAGTATATCAAGTTTAGGAACCCCTGGGAATAATCCAATCGGGAGTTTTCTAGAACTCTTGGCGCGCTAAGTGAATGACACTCGTCCGAGTGGACTCAGTTCAATGCGCTTGCAGTGCGGTGACACTGAGCGACAGCGGGGGGCCGGCGTTCGCGGGCTGTCGTTTCAGAGCCGTCGATGATTGGTGAGCGATCCCGATGAGACGGATACTGTGTCATGGAGCTTCTCATTAGAGCCGCGGCATCGCGACAGGTGGCTCGGCCGGAGCGCCTCATCTCGTCCTCGTCGCCGTTGTCACTTTCTTCTCTCTTGCAGCGACTCAATTCATCGGGCTGCAATAAAACGGGACCCGCAGTGTAACGGGAAGACCCCGCGCCCGATGCTACCCGATGAGGAAGAAGAGTCACTTCCGGTGAACAGTAATCAGAGACAATATATTTTTAGAGACTCCGCACTAACAATCTGTGCAATGCAATCGGGTGGTGTAAAAACTATATTAGGAAGTCAACGCTGTTTTTCGCTTATTGATGATTGGTGAGCAACTTTTTAACATAAAATACTCCGAAGGATGACTGATGACTGTCGGGATGAACGCGGTTGCTAAGCCAATGGAGATGTCTCTTAAAAAATTGAGTGAATAAAGAAAAGCATCGCACGCATTGCGCTAAACAGTGCGATCGGCGTGACACGCATATTAGCGCCTGCAAGACTGCATGAATACTTCTCGCATTGCGTCTAACGCATAGCAGTCGGTCTCGGTTGGTCAGATGGTGGTATGAAACGCACTACGTCCATTGACGGAAATATCACCCTTCGAAAATGTTTGAATGGGTGCAATAATGAAGATGTTGCATGTGTGAGGGATTTGCGATTTGACAATTGATGCTTACGTAAAAGTTCACGAGAAACACGATGGTGCCACTGATTTTCTCTGAAATCAACTCCCAAGCTCAAAAAAAGCTCTCAAGTTGAGGCCAATATGGAGGGGATATCCCACGCTATCCTGAGAGTCCACATCTACATCAAGACAAACTCTTCATGCAAAGATAGGGAGCTAATACGATAGCAGTGATGGCGTGTTTTCACTTGTGGAGTTCCCAAATAAAGTGGCAGTCCTGTCAATGTATTCGCTCCCTATCTTTGCATGCTGAGATTTTGTCTTGATGTAGAGGTGGACTCTCAGGATATCGTGGGATATCCCCTCCATTTTGGCCTAAACTTGAGAGCTTTTTTTGAGCTTGGGAGTTAATTTCAGAAAAAAACCAGTGGCACCATCTTGTTTCTCGCAAACTTTTACATAAGAATCAACAGTCAAATCGCAAATTCCTCACACATGCAACATCTCCATTATTGCATTCATTCAAACATTTTCGGAGGGTGATATCTCCGTCAGTGGACGTAGTGCGTTTCTTACCACCACCACCTGACCGACCGAGACCGACTACTATGCGTTAGGCGCAATGCGAGAAGTATTCATGCAGTCTTGCAGGCGCTAATATACATGTCACGCCGATCGCACTGTTTAGCGCAATGCGTGAGATGCTTTTATTCACTCAATTTTTTAAGAGATTCTTACGTTTTATTTTCACTCTTTTATTATATTACACTATTTCAATACCCTGAACCATGTTACGTTGCCCAGTGAATCGAGTCAAATGGAGAGGTCGGACGAAATTCGGAAACTTTTAAAGTTTATAACTCCGTTTATTCACAACTTTGAGGTTCTAAAAGTGGTCCAATTGGTTTTCTCGCGAAATTCTCTTGTAGAAGCACCCCTTAAAGTTTGAACTGTCGCGAAATAAACACAAAAATTTGCAGTTTTAGCCAAAAATTTCGTGTCCGACTTCTTCAATCAAAACGATCCGTTGTGCGTCGTTCGGGGGCACCGTTTCACTCCCCCACTGAAAAAAAATTCTCGGCGTTTTTACCACGGTCCGTTGGTACCTTTACCATCTCACTTTCTTTACCAATTATTGGTCAGTTTACCAAGACAGACTGGTAAGCTTACCTAAAAACCGGTAATTTTACTGGGGGTTTTTTTTTCAGGTAAGAATACCACTTTTATTGGTAATCAATCCCCGGTAACTTTGCCGTTTTATCTCGGTAATTCTACCACAGCCGATAAAGAATTTTGGGGTTTTTACCACGGTCCAGTAAAATTACCGAGAAAGTTCGATAATTTTACCGAGATTTCTCGGTAAAATTACCAATTCTATAAATGGTAATTTTATCAAGAAAAAACTGGGATCAAATAGAACCCTGAATTCTTGGTAATTTTACCCTTTTCTTAGTAAATACACCGAGATTCTTTTTTTCAGTGTCGATTTTGAACAGCGTATTTCCCAGTTAGACGGCAACAGCTCAAAAGCCCGCGATCTTCCACGCAACACGATTAATTCGCGGCGAATGAATGACGCAAGTGACTGCTTTTCCGTCGCGAGGCTGATAAGCTCCAGCTTTAGCCGCGGGAGTCCCGACTCCCAGCTCCCGACCCGATTACTCATTTTCACCTCGGTCCTCAGTCCTCGGTTCCAGAGACGCCTATTACCATTCAACTGGGTCGCCCACGGCTCGGCTCCCGCACAAAAGCACGCCGACTTCCGTCCGAAAGGGCTTCCGCAACTACTGTCGGCTCCTGCGTGCCGTGGCTAATTAAATTAACGCATCAATGCGACACCTGCCTACCTGCGCCAAAAGCTACTCATTTGGACGTATTTCTGCCAAACGGAACTATGTCCATTATGCCGTGAGCCCTGTTATGCATATATTTGTATGGGTCTCAGGGCTCATGTCTTCATAGGCACTCTGCACCAAAAGCTACTCATTTGGACGTATTTCTGTCAAACGGAACTATGCGCATTATGACGTGAGCCCTGTCATGCATATATTTGTATGGGTCTCAGGGCTCATGTCTTAATGGGCATAGTTCCGTCTGGCAGAAGTACGTCCATTTGTCAGATTCGAATCAACGATTGGTTTCCTCCGTCACAATTCGACAGCAGGGATAAAGGCCCAAGGCCGCGACTTATATTTACCGATGAAATGAGGGACTTGGAGGACATAGAACAAGGCGCATAAGTGCAGTTTTTGTTATTTCGAGAGATATGTGTTTAAAGATTTGAAATTACCTGGATTCTTATGGCGGAAAGAAATTTCGAACTGACTTTTTGATATTTGAAAATTGGGATTTGGGTTGGGAGCGAATTTCTCACAGAATATGCATTACAGCTAGTTTTACTTGAAATCATTAATATCTCAATTTTCTCTTCTTCTTTTACCACATTCACTATCATTTTACACACTATTTTCTCGCCCTCATCTCCTTCATCTATATCCTCTTTTACCCCCGTTGTTTTCTCCTCATCTCTTTCACCTACAACTTCTCATCCTGGGCGACTTAAAAACTGAAAAAAGGAAGTAGAAGAAAATTGTGAAGAGTGAAAAGAAAGAGCAGAACATGCAAAAACAGAAGAGCAAAAGTGAGATAAAAAAAGAGGAGAAGGAGGAGAACACGATAAGATATAAAACGAAGCAGTAATAAAGGGATAAGAAGATGATAAGTAGAGGAAGATGACACGCAGTCCTACAGCATGCCTGCCTACGGTACCTTGTTGGCGCTATTATGCGTTCCACGCCAACTGACCGCCTGGGCGACTGCATTGCGTTTGGCGCTATGCGAGAAGTATTCATGCGGTCTTGTAGGCGCCAATACGGGCGCCGACTGCACTGTTTGGCGCGATGCGTGAAGTATTCCCAGAGTCTTGCAGGCGGTAATATACATTTAACGCCTCGCCGGCCGCGCTGTGTTTGGCGCAATTATTCGAACACGCGTTAAAATAATCGCGACATCGAATAACACCGTATGAGCAATCCAACGTTGCCTCGTTTCTCCCGATTATATATTTTTTCCGAGGAAAGTTAGAAAAGATCTTCATACCCACGACTATTATTTAATCTTTTAACTTCATTTATGATCAGAAGGTAAGACATTATCGATGACTTGCCCACGAACGAACCTAAACTAGCTTAACATAAAAATGCATTTATTTTCCAACTGTTTCCTGTTTTGAAAAAGCAGAAGAGAAAAATTGAGATAAAAAAGAGGAGAAGGAGGAGAACACGATAAGATAGAAAACGAAGCAGAAATAAAAGGATAAGACGATGATAAGTAGAGGAAGGTCTCTCGTTACTCAGTCTTTCCGATTTGTCTCTCTATTTTCTTCTTTTACCGCT